AGTAATGGTAGACTTGTGAGATGTGGTTATCTAGAGAGTAATGTGGTTGTCTAGAGAGTAATGATAGACTTGTGAGATGTGGTTATCTAGAGAGTAATGGTAGACTTTTGGTAGTGAGATGTGGGATAAACAGATAAATAATTATTGTCGAGTGATCTTCACAGCAATAAATACATGCATACAGACATTTATCGTAAAAAGCTCTTTGCACTAAAAATAAGATAATTTTAACATATTATACAGACAATATGTGTACACTGATTGCTTTGACCAAATAAAAACATGGGTACTAACAAGTCTTAGAAAGTTAGAGCATAGAACTACTAACCCGTAAGTCACGAGTTCGAATCCGGGTAGAACTTTTCTGAGTCCGCCCAGCTCTGACTGGTACCTGCTGCCCTAGAACTATCATATGTAGGTTGTAAGAAAAACTATAGTTGTGGTAGCAATGTCGGCATTGTATCTAGTGAAAACTTTTCCCTGAGGTTGCTGTATTAAAGGTAAACGACCAAATATAGTAAACACGAGTCAGCAGATAAGAGTCAGAAAGCCGACCGCACCTGGTGACTCCCGACCTAATGACGCCACTGAACCGTGGCAACGTTTGGTTTGCATATAATGAACTAATAACTGCGGCATCTTTCTGTGTATTCTAGCACGGCCTATGCATGCTTGACTACACACGTAGATGTAGCTTCCATATAAAGACACTGGTTCTGTAACAGTGGTTATCCAACCACCCCATCCCATCCACATTAAAGTAGTTCTCTCCTATTACTTGTAGATGTGTGTCCAGCTAAACTGACGTCTACGCTATACCGAAGCATGCCCTGCATCGGATGGGATTAGAAGAGGATGGGATTAGAAGAGGATGGGATTAGAAGTGATGTGAGTGGAGTGGAAGAGGAAGAGATTAGAAGACGTTGGGATTAGAAGAGGATGTGAGTGGAGTGGAAGAGGATGGGATTAGAAGTGATGTGAGTGGAGTGGAAGAGGAAGAGATTAGAAGACGTTGGGATTAGAAGAGGATGTGAGTGGAGTGGAAGAGGATGGGATTAGAAGAGGATGGGATTAGAAGTGGATGTGAGTGGAGTGGAAGAGGATGGGATTAGAAGAGGATGGGATTAGAAGTGGATGTGAGTGGAGTGGAAGAGGATGGGATTAGAAGAGGATGGGATTAGAAGAGGATGTGAGTGGAGTGGAAGAGGATGGGATTAGAAGTGGATGTGAGTGGAGTGGAAGAGGATGGGATTAGAAGAGGATGGGATTAGAAGAGGATGTGAGTGGATGAGGGTGGGGGTAGAAAAGGATGGGGAATGGGATAAGGTGCGCCATGATTTGATTTACTTTCTTCTTATACCGAAACAATTCACCAGATTAATGAGCGATGTTAAATGTACCATGACGTGCACATTCTTGTTATGTCGGGGAAAAAAAAAAGTATGCCACGGTAAGATTTTGGGGAAAAAATTAGCCATTATTCGCCCTTTACCCTCTTCCTGACTTTTACAGACAGCCGTAATACATCTTACACTAATGAAACCAGGCAAGGAAAAAAAAAATTCACCTTGACCAAAGTCTAACATACCAAATGTACTGCATATCGTTTACCTACATGTGAAAACTCGGGGAATAAGGGAGTGAGAGCAATGACATTAGCTGCACTGGTTTCATTGTGTAACTCACTGACACAATTTCCTCGGTTATCTCCCCTTGCCCTAAATTGAGTTAGCGAGACAATACGAGTTTCTCACAGTAGTCCGCCAACTTTTTTTTTCTTCTGCACTGTTTAGTTCTCGTATGTCACACGTGCTGACATACTTTCAGTGTGATATGTGGGTCTACAGTCTATGTCGTTTTTTGTTCTATGTGGGTATATTGCCTACGTTCGTATTTTGTTGTGCATAGGTCAACAGTCTACTCTAGTTTTTGATACATGTGGGTCCAGATTCTACATTTGTTGTTTTGTTCTATGAGGTTTTATAGCCTACGTTCGCTAATGCTCTGTGCGTTTTACGTGCGCATAAATAAGTTATATTATTAGTCTATTGCCTACGGTTTATTATATTAGTTGTGGGATTTCTAATCTTATATCGCCTAGGTTTTTAGTGGCCTTACACGGTCGTTTATGTTCCGTGTTTGTTGACAGCCAACAGTATGGAAGATACTGTACTATTTTATAGAACCTCACAGGTAAAACAACGTAGAAGAATGTAGACTACATTAATGTTAAACCAGAATAACAGGAGATTTTAAAAAATCCAAGCTAATATGAAGAGGTTTCGTTCAAAGATGTATGTATCAGACAAGAAAATCGATAATGTTTGCAGCATGTGATGCATTGTTGTTTTTTTAAGCGTGTCTTTGTGGAGCAGACGGGGAGAGTGTAAATAGTTTTTTTTTTTAAATGTGCATCTTGTTATGTACTTCTAGAGTAAACAAAGTAAACAAAGTGAGCATGGGGATTCAAAAGTACAGGGAGGGGTTTTTAGACATCGCTGTCAAGCGACTTAGCTTGACAGAAAATAGGAGTCTTAGGTTAGACACATGGGTAGACAGATAACACGATTCAGTAGGTAGTCACCAGTGCAGCTTTACCAGTGAATGAGTGGCTAGGCATGTGACAAACGTCTACAGATTACCGCATCAATGAACAGGCAGGTATACAGGATAACTTTTTTTGTGAGCAGGTATATACATTAACGCTTCAGTGAGCGCGCAGGTATGCAGGCGGATTAACTATTTAGTGAGCATGCAGATTAACGCTTCAGTGAGCATGCAGGTATACTGACTACGCCTGAATAAGAAGTCCGATTAGTCAGAAATGATAATTAAATATACAGGCACTACCAGTAACGGTTCGATTCGAATAGTTTGATTACAGTGACAGCACCAAAGTGACAGCTGGGCATCACAGTGACAGCACCAAAGTGACAGCTGAGCATCACAATGACAGGACAGCACCAAAGTGAAAGGACAGCACCAAAGTGAAAGGACAGCACCAAAGTGACAGGACAGCACCAAAGTGAAAGGACAGCACCAAAGTGAAAGGACAGCACCCAAAGTGAAAGGACAGCACCCAAAGTGACAGCTGAGCATCACAATGACAGGACAGCACCAAAGTGAAAGGACAGCACCAAAGTGAAAGGACTGACAGGACAGCACTGGTTGCAGTCAGACAAAACGTAATTCAATTCAGACAGAGAAGATGGTTGCAGGCAGACAAAACGTAATTCAGACAGAGAAGATGGTTGCAGGCAGACAAAACGTAATTCAGACTTAGAAGATAGTTGCAGGCAGACAAAACGTAATTCAGTTCAGACAGAGAAGATGGTTGCAGGCAGACAAAACGTAATTCAGTTCAGACAGAGAAGATGGTTGCAGGCAGACAAAACGTAATATAGTTCAGACAGAGAAGATGGTTGCAGGCAGACAAAACATAATTCAGTTCAGACAGAGAAGATGGTTGCAGGCAGACTAAACATAATTCAGCTCAACAGTCCAGACTGAGGTGGTTGCAGTCGAATGGCACATAAAAATGCACTGGTATATCGGTCACGTATGTGGAGCAGCACATTGTGCACATTCAGTTGCCAGAAAAAAGGGTAAAAGTGAAGTGTTAAACAGGGTTGCCAGATAGAAATTTTTTTAGTATCTACATAAAAAACAAATTATTAACTTTTGTTAAATAAAGCCAGTTTAAAAGTTAATTGTTGCCAGTTAGTATAATTTTTACTGTGTCACTTAAAATGGTAATTAAGATCTTATTAATTGCCTGTTTCAAAAGTAGAAGTGAAGTATTGAAAATGTTGCTAAATAATCACTATTTAGCAACATAATGTTTGTAGGTTACCACCTTTAAAATTATAATTACATTATTATATTGCCAGATACAATGATAAAAATCACTGTTATAAAATGTAATAAAAAGGTTGGTAATTAAGCTAATCAGGTTTTGTAGGTGTCGCCTATACACAATTTTATATCTTTTTAAAATGGTTAAAGAGAGTTGTTAAAAAAAAAATCCAATGAAGATGTTTTTAGACTGCCAATTACAATGGTAATTTTATAAAGTTTGAATTTTGCCAGTCAGAATGGTACAAAATAAAAAGCCAATTAAGAACATAAAAAGTTTAAGGAAAATTACAGTCAGTTTCTTTAAAAATTTTAAACTTAGATTTTATAGTCTTTAATTTCACGAAAAGAAAGAGTTAATTTAGCTTTGCACCAACATGCTCCAAACATACAGTCAGACAATAAGCCACATACTTGAAAGGAAATGTTATCAAAAAGGTAATTAAATCAAATTATTATATATTTGTATTTGATGTTCGGCCAAGTATTATTGCACACAATATAAAGGAAAATTTGAAAAATGATAATAGATTAATTATTGACCTCTAGTGATGCAGAAAGGATTCTATTTAACAGAATGATGTGACTGTTTGAGATAAATTGTTTCAAAAGTATATGCTAAGACACATAATAACGTTATGTAAAAACTGATATAAATACAGAGACAACTACACTTGAACAAAGTAACAAACTCATAAACTGAAAACAAATTAAGAGAGTAAGATAAAATAAATACAATGTATCTAAATGCAATAAAACATAAAAATTAAGTTTGGACAAAAAAATTTAATTACAAATAACTACAAATTAATTAAATAGTTGCATAGCATGTGGTAATGATAAAATGGAACTAAACACATGATGGTGATAATTATGTGTTTTGAAATAAATTTTACAAAACCCACTTTAAAACATATAAGTGAGAGCTATGCAGATATTAAAAAAACAAAACTTTACCAACTTTGTAAGTAACCCATTATAGCTTGCATGCAGTGTTTTGAATATGGTTTATAAACCTTGCACCATTACCACTCTACCATCACATACATGTACACAGTGAAAGTCTAAGCTAATCATCTATGTTTGGTCTAGCATGTCTTTTTAAATGAAACATTTAGATTTGAATTACAGACTTTTCAACATACCAAAATGTTGAGACATGGATCTCCAAACACTGTCCCCAAGGGTGGGTTTGGTGGATAATTCACAGTGGCACAGGGATTGTACACATAGTTTAGTGGGTGGGCATAGTTGCCTGACAGCACATTTAAGCTGGCAAAATACCTGGAAGAGAAGCAGAAATTGTTAATTATTTAATGTTGTGACATATTTAAGCTGGCAAAATACCTGGAAGAGAAGCAAAAATTTTAAATTATTTAATGTTGGCGCACATTTAAGCTGGCAAAATATAAGGAAGCACATTTAAGCTGGCAAAATACAAGGAAGATAAGTAGAAATTTTAAATTTGTTGTGGCACATTTAAGCTGGCAAAATATCTGGAAGGAAGGCTGAAAATTTAAATTATTCTATGCTTTTGTGGTGCAACTGGCAAAATACCTGGTAGATAAGCAGAAATTTTAAATTATTTAACGGTGTCGCACATTTAAGCAGGCAAAATATCTGGAAGGAAGGCTGAAAATTTAAATTATTTTACGATGTGCACAACTTTCAAAATACCTGGAAGAAAAGCAGAAATTTTAAATTATTTAAAATTTAATGTTGTGGCACATTTAAGCTGGCAAAATATTTCGAAGGAAGGCAGAAATCTAAACAACTAGTACAGATGTACCTCGACCTATCAGTGTCCTAACATATGATCACTTTTAGATACTTGATTTTAATTACAAGTAAAATTGAGATACGAAGAACTTAAACACATTTTTTAAAAACAGATTGCAGGTGAAAGTTAGGAAAATGCAGCAATAAACTATTGGCTTTCTAGGTAAATACATTTCTAGGCCTACACAAGTTTATTTCCTTTAAATTCGCTTGTACTGTTTTTATACAAAATATATATAAATATATTTTATCTGATTCAAAAACACATAAAGTGTCATCCATAAATGACATCACTCGTAGGGGGGATCCATAATTTTGTGATGGTGTGTAATAGGGGGAGGGGTTCAGGTGGTGTGATGTCATACTTTTGCATTACAAAAATGTTAGAAAATGAATTTAGCCATTATTTCACATTTTAGAAAACTGTTTTAATAAATTGTAATAGAAATTGATTAAAATACTCCATGTTTACAGAGTTCAGACAAGATTTTGGAAAAAATTACAGTATTTTAAGTAAAATTCAACTGCAATTTTGAGGGGGGGGGGGGGGGGGGGGTAAGCTGAGGAGTGACATTTTTTTTTAGGGGAAGGGGGGGTGGGGTCTGGCTTTTTGTGATAATGTGTGACGGAGGGGAGGGGGGTGAAAAATCATCAAAAAAGCATCACGTCAATTATGGATGACCCCATATGGAAGTGCATGTAGAATGTAGGCCTAACTAGTAACTATGCTATAGTTTAACTTTAGTCTAGTCTCGACTCCAGAACCAGACTTTGTTTGTTAAGTTACACTGTTATTGTTAGTTTTAGCCTGCGTAAGTAAGGTCTATTATTAAATAATAAGATTTAGGGATTTTTATAGATCTAGGCCTATTACATTTAGAAAAATCTAATAAGTAGGCCTAGATCTAAGGATTCTAGATCAAAGTGTAGTTAGTGTCAGTTAGATCTAGAATCTAAGTGTAATAATAGTAATAGTATAAGTAAAGTCTAGTCTAGTTAGTAAGTAGATATAGATCTAGAGTAGATAGATCTAAATCTAGTTAAGTGTAAGCAGTGGCGTAGCCAGGATCGTCTCAAGGGGGGTTCCAATTTTTCAAACTTTCGATTTGCACCCCCCCTCTCCAACTTTCAATTTGCAACCCCCCCCCCCTCATACTTTATATATATATATATACCGAGGTGTCTATGGGGGTGGGGGGTTATGACCCCCCCCGCCTACGCCACTGAGTGTAAGTCAGTGTAGTGTAAAGAAGTGTAAGTAAGTGGGTAGTGTAAGTATTAAGTATATTAACTTAAGTAAGTGATCACCTGGCAAAACCATCAAATCTTGAAATGGGTTTTAAGTTTATTACATCGTCATCTTTGGAACCGACTTTGATCAAACAAGTAGCTGCATCAAAGAACGGAACTTGCAAAGTCGTAGAACCAGTATTATTGGCTAGGTTTACTGATGATTCTAAAGATAAATTTTCATTGCTACCGTCATCACTTGCATGTTCATCTTTGTTTTTAATGCTGCCACTAGGCCTAGTGGTCTTACCAGTGGTAGAACTTAAAAATCCTACATCGTCTGCTAGAGTTACACAACAAGTATAAAGCAGACACACTGATGTAAATAAGAACATGTATCCTTCCATTCTTTAAGTACAGAATAATGGTTAAAATAAAAACACTACATTCCTTAGCTGTGATCAGCTGTTTTCTAAACTAGAAAACCTTGTCAACTTAATGGCACTATCGAAATAAACTAGGACACAGTTGCCTGTACAGGTCAGATTTATAGAGCATTTTCATTGGTTGGTAAAACTACAACCAATCACAGCTTCGATAAAAAACGATTTTCATTCTTCTAAATAGGTCGGAGGGTAGATAACTCCTAATAAAATGTCTGCACTTTAAACCTAGTAACCGTAGCATTACACCTTGGTTAAAACAAAAATAAAAAAGTAAAAAAAAAACTTTGATCGAGATGGAAGCTAGCGTTGGGACTAAAATATTAATATAAAGCACACAACTATTTTATTTTACGCCATATTAAAATATTGAGACAAAGGTACAGAGCCTTTGACACAGGCGGTGAGAGGAAAAGTAGAGTGTGGCTCCATAACTTCATATAATAAAATGGGGTTGGATGTTGTAACCACTTTGACCCCCCCTTCTCAAACACCCCCCCCCCCCCCCCACTTCCCCGAAAAAAAATCAACCAAACGAAAACAACAGAATTTCTGAGAGCAACTGTGCCTGTCACATACCTATCAAAATTCAACTGGGTACCGTAAACTTTGACCCGCACAAGCTAAGACATGACCTCTGACCTCTTAATCCATTTAGTACTACACTACTATTCTGGTCTAATACACGTACGTGGATCTATGTAGGATCAAATGTAGGATTAAAAAATAAATAGAGGGTCATATTTCAACACCACACTAACAAACGTCTCAAAAGATATCTTCGAAATTAATAGCATAAGAATATATTTTGTTACTTCTGCTAATTCTTTAAAAAATAAAAAGAGCCTAGGTTGCCAATATAAAAAAATTGGTTAATCGACATGTGACCTGACCACTAAACTGCTAACAATACCGTAATTTAGTAGGTAGGCCTACAAATCATAGTAGAATTGTATTGTATCTAGCATAGTAGGCCTACTAGTGGACACGGCATTAACCATGACATTTATATAATTGCGTAAGAGAGATAAGAGAATTGTAAAATCTTTTATGACGCTTTCTTAGGCGATTTGTTATTAAGGACGGTTTATTTATAGGTCTATATGTTTCGCTTAACACATTAAAAGTAATACGCCATATTTGATGTATAGAACAACAAGAAATATGTATGTTTGTAAGTCGACTGTACTGTATCCCACCTTCAAAAAGAAGAGAGGCTATATGAAGCCTTGAAGCAACTGAATAATTGGAAGGCTCCAGGAATAGATGGTATACCGCCAGAAGCAATGACAGCAGATATCGAAACGTGTGTCTTTTCCAGACTTTTTTTCTCCGGGGGATCTCGAGGGGGCACTTGATATTTACGGGGGGGGGGGGGGAGGGGCGGTAACATTTTCCGGGAGGGGGGGGGGGGGGGCGGACACTAGTAGAAGTATATGTTTTCTATATAAATTCCATATCGTTCGGGGGTGGGAGGAGGGGGGGTAGACTTTCTTGGGGGGGGGGGGGAGATGATTGGAAGAAACTCTGATCGAAACAAGCAACGCACATCACACACTCTTTTGTCTTCTAGTGAATGTGGGAAGATGAACAAATACCAGAGGATTGGAAGGAGGGACTTCTAATAGATCTGATAAACAAATATAAATCTTTAAACTTAATTTCTTAAAAGTTATATTTTCTATATGGTTCGCTGTATTAATTGGTCATTATCGGCCGACGCAACTAGTTTAGATAATAATTTAGAAGTCCACTAAACCCCTCAAGTTTAAAGTTATTTACACTACAATGATATTTTTTGGGTGAAGGATCTTTTTGTTAAGGGAACTAAACCTAGAATAATCTGCATTCATAAGTATTTATTGGGTAGTTTCCCTTTGTTCGTGTGAAATTGATAAGAAATTTTTTTCTTCTGTCCTCGGTCAAGTTAAGGGGTCAGTGAAGCTTACACTATAGCCAATATAACATCGTTTTCAATCTATAGTTCGTATAATATGTTGTTTATAACTATTTTTTAAATAAAAAGAGCAAATGTATATACGTTGTATCTTGTTCAGTTATATTTTTGTTGTCTTTATATTGTGTTATGTTTATTAAGTTTTGTTGTTTTCGTAAACTGTTTTGTAGATTGTTTTTAGCGCAATTTCCTTTCTGGAGAATTGCGTTTATTAACCCGTCATTTCTGGATGGATGAATGGATGGATGGATGGATGAATGTATGAATGTGTGTCCGCAGCTTTAAGTCGTATCTCCTCCTCAACGAAGCAATATCGAGGACTAGTTCCAAAAGCAAATATGTTAAGCAACTTACGAGGATGAGCATAGGCCATAAAAATTCCGGGTTCCTTTCATGGATTTCCCGGAAAAGCCAAAAAACCTCGGAAAAAAACAGTTTTTGGCCCATATCTCGACAACCAGACAACTTAGCGACTTGAAACATGTACCAATCGATTCCTGCCATAATTTAGAACAATATTGCCTAAGAAAGTTTTCAAAAATATCCTTTCGTTCGGTCACAAATAAAATTTTGAATTAATTAAAATTTTGACCGAATTAGGCATTTTTTCCAACCACACCATACGCGTCATCACGTTCAATAGCTGCGCCATCGCGTTCCATGGCTGCGCCATCATGTTCAGTAGGCGCGCAATGGTTTTTAGTCATGTAACTCTATTGTAAATAAAACATGTAAAATACTGAAAAAAAATTAATAAAAAACGTTTTAATAACTAACCAATGGTTTTACTAACCCTGCTCTTGATTTACGCTACGACAGAGCTATTTTTAGATAACATAAGGAAATTGCGCTAAAATTGTCACTAGACTTTTTAATTACCTTGTTTTGTAATGATTTTGTTAAATTGTTTTTTATGTGTTAAGTTTCTGTTGTGTAATTTGTAGCTTTAGCATGTTTCACATGTTAAAGCATTGGTCGCTAAAAGTGTATAAGAGATGTTAAGAGCGACTAACATTTTAATAAGAAACGAAAGTTATTTTAAAAATTATTTATTTTTCAGTGCTTTTAAAAGATCATTATAAAGGTTAGTCTTGTACTTCTTCTTCTTCTTCTTCTTCTTCGTTCTTTATTCTTGTGTTAGAACACAAGTAGGTCTATACGTGTCAACCGGTTATGCGCCATTTAGGCCGTTGACTCCGATTTCAGTCCTTTTCTTTTGGATTTGCTTCCATAGTCTTTGTCCAACCAAGAACAAACCACAAAGCGGCAGTTGATTGATTTTGGGTTGTCTCTTCTAGATGGGTTGCTGGCCTCAACTATTGAGCCTCATCTGCCCGGGGGTTCTAATTCGTGTTTTCTACACGTTTTATCGTTATTCTGTTTTGTAGTTCGTTACTCATTTATCGGTATAGACTAGACACTGGGTGTTCATTGCAGTGCAAGGATAATATATATTGACGGGAGCCGATCAGTGGATAAATTACGAGTAAATTTGCAATGGCATGGTCAAGTTGTAGAGCGCTCGACTTCTTTACCGAAAGTCTCGAGCGGGAGTCCCTTTGTGACGTTAGAGAGTCCACCCAGATCTGATGGTCATAGTAAAAGACTTTTGGGCATTGTCAAAGACTGTATTATTGGGTATGTTTATTATATTGTGTTTTACATGAAGTTGCATAAATGTAGAGTACCTGGCCAACGGAAGGACTGCCTGAGCGACTCGTCATGTATTTTTTAAACGCTTTTCTGAGATCGCTCATTGACGTAAGGCAGTGGTCTCCAAACTTTTCAGTCCGAGGGCCGCATTAACTATCAAATTTCAGTTCGGGGGCCAGTTTCTTCCAGGCATGTCGTGATTTTTCTGAGCAAAGTCCCTCAGCCATCACTAACAAACGTTTTTTCCGTAGACAAAAAGATCTCCGCGGGCCGGATGAGAGGACCTCGCGGGCCGCATACGGCCCGCGGGCCGTAGTTTGGAGACCCCTGACGTAAGGAGAGAGAAAGGAGTGTATAAAAGGTGGAGCGCAAGGTGAACGAAGTGTGCTTGCCTGTGACTGTGTATTAAGATGTAAGATGTCACCACGTCAGTTTGTTCTAGACTATAATGTAATAGTCATTTTTCTAGTGTGGAATACTATTATTATTTCTTATGCATCTATGTAAATAAAGTTTGAAGTTACAAAGCACTGTTGATCGTATTCTTGGATGAACGAACCCACAATAACGACAGTATCATCCTATCAACAATATTACTGCTGTTACAGGCAAAATGCTAGCCACACTAGTCCTTCAGAGGTTCCAAAAAGTTATTTGGGGATTTTTATTTTATTTTAAGAATAACATTTAATTAAATTGCTTTGTAATTATATATTGCTTTGTAACTACAGCAAAATATTATGCACAGATTATAAGGGCAACTTATGACAGAAATTATGAGGGCAATTTATAACAGACAGAGACTATATGCACAATTTTCATAAATAATTTAATAAAAAGAATGCTATTCTGGGATTACTTAATCTTAACCCTCATGGCACGATAAGCCTTTAATCTTAACCCTTTGACACGATAGTCTTTAATCTTAACCTTTATTACACGACAAGTCTTTAATCTTAACCCTTATTGCACGATAAATCTTTAATCTCAACCCTTATTGCAGGATAAATCTTTAATCTTAATCCCATACGATACAATACGACTTTAGCCCAATATGGTACGATAAGTCTTTAAACTTACCACCCCCCCCCCTTCCCCCCATGACACGAGAATTCTCATGTGTCTAATACAATTGACAAAGGTGGGACAACACAGCCACTTGGGTGGCTTTATGCGAGCTAGTTAGTGAATCCCACCTCCATGTAAGGAGAGCTCTGGATTAGAGATAGGCTTTGTATTGATGCAACATTGTGATCAAGTTGTGTAGGCGAAACATTGGCGTGGTTCCTCTAAAGTTTTACTGATAGGTAATTTAGGTTTAAATGGGTAATTTGGTTAGGTTTAGAGTATAACCAGTTGAGACAACTGAAGAGAAGGTAATGAGTCAGAAAATCTAAAGCCATTTGAAATCTCTATCTCGGATGTGTATACATATGAAATGGGCTCTAACCATATTAACGTGACCATCAAGTGGGATTTCGATAGAGTAAATCAAAACGAAGATTAAATCCTCGATTAAAAAACCGATTCCTAAATCATGGGATTTTGATAGAGTAAATCAAAACGAAGATAAAATCATCGATTACAAAAAAAAACAACCGATTGCTAAATCATTTTTTTCAAAACATTTTTGACCGGGGCGTACAGAAATATAAAAGTTTGTAAAAAAAGAAAACCCTCTAATTTTTTTAGAAAATACATAGATCTTAGAATATACTTTTTGAGAATATAATGTATAAATTAACAGATTCTAAAGGATTTTGAGTATTCGGAAATGGAACAAAAATATATCTTCCCGTTACAGGAAAGTGCATAAAAATGATTGAATTCTGTGTACAATAACTAATACAGTTACATATATAAGACATATCGTCCACTTTAATTGAACGAGACTACTTTAAAGTACCACTTCCGGACATCGGCGGTCACACAAAAGTAAAAGTAATCAAAGTATAAGATCTTATACTTAGATTACTTTGATTATATAAAATTTCGTTTTTCTACCTGAAACAGTGCTCCAGTTATCGTGTTGCTACGGAAATATAGTAAACGAGCCGACCCGTGGCGTATCATACGCCGCTATTTAGTTGTTTTTTTTTCTACTTTTCAGTAATTCATAATTTGTGAATTCGACAGTACCAATGCTGCCACTGAAAATATTTGCTTTAAAACACTAAACCCCCATTTCCCCCCTTTCCCCCCCCCCCCCCCGTGAAAGCAGCCTCCTCTTAGTTACCTCCTCTAAGTTTAAAATCGTTTCAAACTGAATTATCTGCCCCTAATAGCCGTCACCAAACCCGACTCTACAATTGTTTTGTAAACATTTAGGCCTAGCGTGAACTACAACTCACCTGACCAAGTGAGGGGGTGGGGGTGGGGGGGGGGGGGGGTAGCGATAGAGAGGAAGAGAGGGGGCTGCAAGGCGCGCGCTTGCAGCTTGTTTTCTAACGGCTCCCAGAAGAGAATTATATATATAGATGACCAGTTCCGGGTTACCGGAAATGGCGTAATTTTAAAGTCTATAGAAATCTGCCAATATAATCTAATTCTAATATGTGAAATTCCAACCATGTAACGTAAACGGTTTTCAAGTGATTGGCTTTTGAGAAACTGGAAGCACAAACGGTATCCCTTCGGGTTTCAAGAAATCTCTCAAAATTTGACATAAGAACTACACATTTTATATAATATATGTAAATGAAATTTTGTCTAATGAACTGAAACGATACTCAAGTTAACGTGTTCACAAACACAGACAATATTGTAAAACAAAGATTACATGGGCCTACTCAGGAAGATGAAAAACGTCGAAATTCGTCACAATCTGAATTTATATTTCCTGCATGATTAAACAGCCATATGTATTTTGTAATTGTATACGAGAAAGTTGAGAGGTATAAAACGCCAAAAACTGTCGAAATTTAATGTTTTCTTGCATAATTACAGTATTTTCGTTATACTTTGTAATCGAGAAAGTAGAAATTAAGCGACTAATAAACTTATGGAAATTTGATGAATTTAATTGCCTTTACTCAAACCTCGAATATTTAGGAAGTCGATACATTTCTTTCATGATAAATTAAAATTTCTGATTTAAAATGTAAAAGAAAATCATTGGTTACTGATAGTATACCATATTTTTGAGTTGACATCATCATTATCTGCTTCAAAGAAGCACTGTATATGAAGAGATAGCAAAGTCAGCACTATGCCCAGCCGCTTTGTTTTCCTAACGTGAGTTAGGTACCCATCAGAGTTGGGTGGACTCAGGCGACGGTCTACTGACTTGAACCCGGACTCGAGCTCGAGACTCTCTGGTTAGCAGTCTAGCTCTCTACCGCTAGACCACGCCGTCCCACCATAATTTTTACTGATATGAAAATTTTGTTGTTTTCATATTACCAGTAGATCATTACAATCTTTCATTTAATTTGTTTCCTCCTGCTTGGTACTTAATGCTTGCTTCGTTTGTTATAGGTCAAAACTAGCGAGCGAAATTTCTACCACTCTTAATAGGACCAATTTCTTTCAAACTTGGCACGTGGGTCAAGATCCGTCTACAATGCAATGTGATATCAAATTTGACTTAGTCACTATATTATCTTTAACACCTTTACAAATATTTAAGTTTCAACCCGACATTTTCTTTATATATTTTAAAATAGAAGTGGATTATTATATATTTAAAGAAAATGATTTATTTTCCAATTTTTAATGCATAACTAGATAGAAGCTTGTTATTAAACGTGTTTTATTAAATAAAAAAAAATAATAAACAGAAAAATTAGTTTAAAATGAAATCCCGTTGTGACTTTTTATGACATTACTCTTATGGGACGGAGTGGTCTAGCGGTAGAGAGCTGGACCGCTAACTCGTAAGTCTCGAGTTCACATCCGGGTTCAAGTCAGTACATCGTCGTTGAGTCCACCCAACTCTGATGGGTACCTAACTCACGTTAGGGAAAGTAAAGGCGGCTGGGCATAGTGCTGACCACACTATCTCTTCATATGCCGAGGTCACGGAAACAAGTGAACTCTACTTCACTTGCCCGATAGACAATCAGGTTTGAAAGGGAAACTTTCTCTTATGAGAAACTTTTTTTGAGTGATTAAAATTTTATATTAAGAACTGCAACGAAGTAGTTAATAGAATAAGACAACGCAAAAGATCATTGCTAGTTTATTTATTTTTATACATGGTATCCAAATCAGAAATTAAGATTGAATTTTTTTTTATAAACGCAAACAAATCAAAACGTTCATTTGAATCTCATTTTGTAAATAAAGCTGTCAAAATTTCCCTGGTCAAACTTTACACGGCCTGCAAGACCGCGCAGCAGCGGAGCTTGGTCAAACAGCGGAGGTCATTGCATTCTCCACGATACAGCCCAGTAATGTAGGTGTCTTTCCTGCAAGAGCAGCAACCGGTCTTGTCAAAGCACGCCGAGACATCTTCATCGTAACATGGCTCATAACGAGGCGGCTGGTCTTGTGCTTTGGTACAGCGTCCCTCTTTGATACTGGAGAGTTTCCAGCCCGCCTCGGACTTATAGAGCCCCGTAAGAAAATATCCAGGCGGGCATTCCACGGAGGCGTTTGCTGTAGAGAAAGAACTCCACCAATCCGCAAGACGAAAATCGGCGCTTCCCGTCCATTGCGGAGGCTTGGTGCAGCACACAGCCTTTCCTAGTCCACCGTTTTTAGCGTTGGATTGCGTTGGATCGGTTCGACAAAAACCCTGAAGGAAGTCTCCGATATGGTCGCACTCGAACAGGCCGAACTTGTTGAAGCTATCAGACCAGTCAGCTTCGTGGCAATCAGACCACACGCCAACAGCAAACATCAGCACGGCGAATACTTTGAATTCGATAGATCTCCACATTTCTGAAATACATTAATTTAATGTGAATACATCAATGGTAGGCGTGGACGAATGGAAACGCGTTCGGCTGCTAACCCAAAAGTCTCGAGTTCGGATCCCGGGCTAGAGTCATTAGTACGTCACATCTAACTCTGATAAGTACCTGATTCGCGTTAGGAAAAATAATGTGGCTGGACATAGTGCTGACCACACTATCCCTTCATATGCCAATGTCACTAAAACATGTACGCTTCACTTCACCTGCCCCATGGAACCTGAAAGGGTACTTTACTTTCAGAATTTGCAAATTAAAAACAATTATTGTTTGCTCCTCTGAAATATATAGCATAATTAAAATGAAATAAATCTTGATTGAAAAAACATAATCAGTAACAAAAACATGATGGATTCTCAACTACACAGATTATTATTACAAGTAATAAATTGAGGTAGAATGTGTTTAGCAAATAATAAATATTATTACATCTGTGTAGTTGATACATGAAGTTATTGATTTTAACTGCACATTACATCTAAAGCAACTTGCTTTTAACGGCACATGTAGTATAAAAAACATTACACATTACTTCAGTAGGCTACTGCTATGTTTTCTTCGATTTAACTAGCAATAATAAGTCACACATACTTACTCACTGTTACACTAAAATATTAAATATATGAAACCATTTGTTTTCTGTCAGTGCACAACTACGTAGAAGTAGACACCTCTCGTCTTGCCTTCAGCGGAGTACTATGAGAAAGGGAATAGTGTGGCTTAAATAGAACAAACTGATTATCATCAGCTTAAGGGGCTTAATTAAATCAACGTCAGCGGCGTGGACAGATGACAATTTACAGTCATCGAGGGCCAAAGAGGAGTTGGTTACGTGTACTCAATCTAAACGTCAAGACTAGTGTACTTCCCCAAAGTTAAATACTTATATTGAATCACTGTAAACTTATTGTAATTTCTGAAAAAAAAAAAAACTCTATTTGGTTTTATAAACTTACTAACGTACACGTCCCTTGCATTGCCGCAGGCTGACGCAATATTTTAAGAGGATTTCATCAATGCTTTACCAATAGTGTATTTATGCGTTACCTTGTTTTTTAGTACTGAGTTTTTAATTGTAAACAGCTCCTGTGCTATATTACATCTTACCAGGGGCGTAGCGAGGGGGGGGGGGCGGGGGGTGCGGACCGCACCGGGTGACACCATTTAGGGGGGGGGTGACACCTAGGCAAAAAAGAGCAAAATATATAGAGAAAACCTCGAGTGGTGGGGGGTGCAAATCAAAAGTTTGAGGGGGGGGGGGTGCAAATCGAAAACTTGAGGGGGGGGGGTGCAAATCGAAAATTTGAAAGCTTGTCCCTGGGAAGGGTCTTTATGCCTCTGGGGGGGGGGGTGACACCATTAAGTGCCGCACCGGGTGACACCCGACCTCGCTACGCCACTCCATCTTACATGCTGGAGTGCGGGTTTGTCCACACTATCGCCCAGACGCCCCATGGCGTGCTGTATGAACGACTTCGGTGTACATTAATCACTCTCTGTAATAGAAAAGTAGACCACACCTAGGCAAACGCAAATATAGCAGGGGTGTAGAGGGACGCGTACTCGAGAGCCACCAGTTATATTAATTCCGGGGCTCCGTGTAGCAGTGGCGTAGCTAGGGGAGGGCGGGTGGGGCGACCGCCCCGGGCACCAACCCTAAGGGGGCGCCAAAAGGGGTAGAAGAATTAATTGAAAAGCTCACTTTAAGCTCATTTTAAGCTGAAATATTAAATAATATAAATCAAAGTTACGAAAATAAACGACTTCAAGGCGTTTCACACTGATTTGACTGTTTTCTTTATCAATTTTGTGACACCTAAATAGAAAATCTAATGGGATAGTAACTGGTAAGAAGTTTCACAAACCTCTCCAATTTATTTACATTGGAGGGGGGAGCGCTTTTTCAAAAGGGGAGGGGGGGGGCGCTTTTTTAAATACTGGAATAACTATAAATAGAATGAGAGGGAGGGCGCAAAAATGTATGTTCCGCCCCGGGTGCCGGAATCGGTCGCTACGCCTCTGCCGTGTAGATCCTTTGTTTTCGGTTTAGTCATCGAATGTGGTGGCCCACCGAGTCCTTGTTATAGGGTGATCTTTAAAAATTAGTTAGGCGATGTAGTTGTTCTCAGGAGGGGGGGGGGGGGGGGGTGGGGCAGAGGCGTAGCGCCCGGGGCGAACTTTAAGTTTAGCGCCCCTCCATGTATATATATATATATATATATATATATATATATATATATATATATATACATATATATATACGTGTGTGTATGTGTGTGTGTGCGACAGTCTGGAAAAAAATAATTAACAATTACGCTGATTGTCGTTCCCTAAAACTTCACTCGACGCCAATTATATTCCCCTTAAGATGCATTATCCTTTAAAAATGATGATTAGTAATGTCAGAAAAAAATTAAAATTGTAGCGGTGCTAATTCGTTTTGGCAAAGAGTGTCGCTTCCCACCCACTCGCTCCGATAGTCTACTATTTTACTGATCGGATAGCGATACAAGAATCCGTGATATAAATTTCTCTTTAATGAAATGATCCAGTTAAGATGTAATGTAATCAATTAAAAGTATCTGATCTATCTAAATGAAGTTGAGAGAATCGTAAGAATCGTACAAAGAACTAGTCGCGTTATTACTTATCAAAACTTGGTAGTGAAATCGTACATTAAGTGTTAATACAATTGATTTCTTTTCTAAGTGTTAAAAGAGTTATCTAGTAAGCGATCCAGTACAAATTCTTCGGTTTTTGTTGGTGAAAAAGCGCCCCCACCCCCCCCATCTTGGACAAAAATGGTAGAGTGGATTTTAAACGTCACTAACTCTTTTTTTATGTTACACAATCGTAAAAATACGCTTTAGTTCAATGTGTTTCATTTCTGAATGATATCGGTTATTTATTCCTTAATCCCGCGTGAATTTTTCCGATTTTAGTCTTCGAAAAAGCCCCCCCCCCCATCTAGGAAAGCTGGAAAGCGGTTTTTCCGGTCACTATTTCTTAAGAATATACGTTTTACAGGTACACAATCAAGGTAGAAAACAGTTAAATCAGTATGCAAGGGCTCTATGCCGTTAAATTTCTTTACTTTGACTGTTTATAATTCAAAACTGCAGCTTAAAATGAACTTTAATAATTTTTTTCTACCCCTTTTGGCGCCCTCCTAGGGTCGGCGCCCGGGGCGGCCGCCCTCCCCACCCTCCCCTAGCTACGCCTCTGGGGTGGGGGGGGGGGACGAGTGAGGTTTGATTTAGCCAAAGATTATAGTAGCCCATCGTATCGCATTCTTAAAACGAACATAGTGCTAAATCGCCCCACCCCCACCTACCGGGGCGCCGGGAATCGCGCCTGATTCAATTTAGACAGCGATTATTTTATCCCACACTGGCCTTAATGCACAACCTTTTTTTTTAAAAATGAATTTAGGCGCCATAATTCGGACGTGAGTGCCCTAGGCGCTCTGGGTCACCCAACCGCCGAGGTGCTGGCAGATGCCCATAGTGCACTTTTACCGTTGACTTTAATACTACCCTAACCCCTAATGCAGGATGCCCAATCAACGTACACCAAATGCTACAATAACTGCTCGAAAAACCGCATTTTATTTCTATATACCATAAAGAAATGTCAACTTTCTTCAGTAGGTTCAATAGGTATTCAGGTTTCAAATATGCAGGGAGTTGTTATTCTTGCCAAATCTTTACCGGGAGTGGTTACAGCGTTACTGCTGTTTAGGATGGTTCTGTTTTAAGTGCCTCTGATGGGGTTCAATATTGTCCAGCTTATGGTTTTAGCGACAAAGCCCATTCAGGGGACCTGTGTTTATCAGTAGCCGTTCTGATTCTGGTGATACGTATAGGATAGCTTGGTGGGGTTGATCTATTTAACATCTCCTCAAAGCACTTGACCCATCCGTTTTCTGTATTGTGCATTACGTTTTATTGTTTTCCCATTTTGTTCGTTCCATCTCTACTGGGTTTGGTTTTCTTGCAAGAAAATTCTCCTGTAGTTTTATACAGTCGTTTGAAGTCTCCTTGTTGTGCAGCTTACTTCGCCTCATCTGTCATTTTATTTCTGGAGCGTTACTTGTCCATTCTTCAACTCTTCTGTACATTGCGATCATCCTCCCAATACATAAGTTCTACGGAATTTCTTTGATCTAGAACTTCAATGTTAAAAAACAGTTGGTTATCTGAGGATACATCTGCTTCAACTTTTACTCGCATTCACCGCTTTCTACTTATCAATCTGATGTTCCGTTTTCCCCTCAGAGAAGGGTAAGATAGTATTGTGGATTACCTTGTCTGAGGATATTGCTCCACTAATAACAAGGTCGTTTAGAGCACATACATCTCTATAATTAAATGTTAAGTATTACATATTTCGAGATTCATGTATGTAAAGCTTATCTGTAACATAGAGCTTGCCTTACATGAGGGTGAGATTAATTAATTAATCCATGTAAAGACACCCATGTAATCCACGTAGCTATGTAAACGGTACGGGCGGATTTTAAAATATCCTGTCATAGCAAAAAAGCTTTAAAGCATAATGTCGAAATGGGTACCAGATATTCGATACGTATGGAGTTTGAAACAATGGAATGTGTTTAACATCAGGGTAAAGTTTGCCACACGTTGCGTTCTCTTCTATCAATGGACATGGCACATTGTTGTAATATAACAATAATACGTTTCATTTAAGACTAGGTAAAGATTAAAGGATTTTAGTAGCATACGGTTCAAGATTAATGGCGCATTGTGTCATTTGAGATTGGGAATGCACTAAGCTCTACTCGCGTAATACGAAATAGAAAAAAAAATGGAACATGCCCTTTTGATTTTATCACAATGATCCACAACATATGTATCGTATGTTGTCTTTATATGTCACTCATTACCCGTACACTGTCTGTCTTGAAGGTGAGGGTAAGGGGTAGGGGGATGGTGTTATGGTTGAGGGTTGTGGGTTAAGGTTAGTATAGCGGTTAGGGTTGATGTTGGGTTGGTGTTAGGGTTGAGGGTTGTAGGTTAAGGTTAGTATAGCGGTTAGGGTTGATTTTGGGTTGGTGTTAGGGTTGTGAGTTGTGGGTTAAGGTTAGTAGACCAGTTTGGATTGATGTTGTGAATGGCATATGGATGAGGGTTTGGGTTAAGGTTAGTATTGCGGTTTGGATTGATGTTGGGGTTGGAGTTAGGGTTAGAGTTAGAGTTAAGGTTAAGATTAGGGTTACGGTTATGATCACGGTTAAGATTAGGATTAACATTTGGTTATGAAAACCGATGCAAAATGTGCGATGGAGCTGCAGCCCTTTGCTCCACGTGGGTCTCAGGGGAAACATAAGAATGAAGATAAGAATACGATACCGATAAGGATAAGGATAAAGAAAAAAAATAGGTTTTTAATTAGGTTTTTAATTAGGTTTAAAGTTATTGTTAGGGTTTAAAGTGAGGATTTGGGTATGGTTTCTTAAATATTAAGGTATCCTAGCGTGTGGTTTCACGTGAATTAGATTACCAATTAAAGATCTGTGGTCTCACAGTCATTAAGGTACTGATGCTACTGATAATTCTCTAGCTAGCATTGACTGTCAGTTCTGAAATTAAGCTTTTACTGTTTCCTCAAGATCCTTAAGATGGTTATGTAGTAACGCCGAAGAAGGTTGGATCTGGAGTTTTTCTTAATAATGTCAGTACGTTTCTCACACGATACATAAAGATTTAATACTTGTACAGACTTTAAATTTAATATAAAACAAATTAAACATAAAAGCACTTTTTGGAGAATGCGTTAGACATTGCATTAGCGATCAATATAGTACGAATCTGAAAGCTTTTTCTTATTCTTCCAGTAGGCCTACATTAGGAGTGTATTTTGTTAATATATTTTAGAAAAGTAAACGTAAATGAAATCTTATTTTTCGTATTATGACATAATTCAAAGATGTTATTATTTTTTTTGTCATATATTTTAACTGTGTCCCTTCAACTTGAGAACAAATTCTTTATTTTCACAAAACGGCTTCCAGGGAAAATAGACTAGCATGGTGCGATTTGGCGCTCTGGGCTAGACTGTGAGCACTTTGAGTTTATGTTTGCGTTTGTGTTTTCTTTGTGTTTTGGTTGGGTTTGCGTTTGTGGTTGTGTTCGTGTTTGCGTTTCTGTTTTCGTTTATGTTTGTATTTGTAAATATTAGCGGTTTTTTTGTTTGTTTTGGTTGGTTGTGGTTAGGGACAGGTTTACAGACAGGTTTTTCACAGAGGACAGTGCAGGGCCTGGCCGGGACGGCTAGTGCTATATAAAGCTAATTTTCTGTCGGCTATAGTTTGACGATATTTCTGATGTTCAAACACTATTATTAATTTCAATAGGAAACGGTTGCCAGTAAAAGCTCTTCTAATTCGAGAATTCTATGAATTTAGCTAGATCTACCGTTAAACTAGATTTATGCTGTCGGAGAATCTAGGCCAAACTAAAATTAATTAGTTAAAATTAAAAACAAGTATAAAAACAAATTAAATAATTATAATTGATTTTTTTTCTATTGAACTATTTTAGCCCTTAAAAAAATTTCACTGTAGTCTTTGCTTCATAGCAATGGAATACGTTAATTTATTATAAAATAATTTAAATTAAGAAAAATATTTGCCATGATTTTACTTGTAAGTGAAAAGAGGACTCCTTCAAAATTTTAACGGAGTGTATGTAATATATGAGAATATGTATCAGTAAAGTTCCCTGTTAAACCTGACGGTATTTGGGACAAGTGAAGTAGAGTTTACTTGCTCTGTGACCTCGGCATATGAAGGGATAGTATGGTCAGCATTATGTCCAGCCGCCTTTGGGTACCCATTGGAGCAGAAACAGTGCAGCAGACCAGCTCTCTACCGTTAGGCCACTCAGTTCCTGAGAAAATATGTCATATAATACGAAATTATTTTCATCGGTATCTTCCTTGCTGGCCAAGTGACAGTACGTTAGCGACCCTGTCAAGTGGCGTGGATTCGATGCTCAACATTAAGTGTTAATTTTTGGGGGTTTTAATTTTCCTGGATAGAAAGTACTCATTTAGACGTTAGCATTAATAATTTATCCATTTATTATTCATACGAGGTTCAATCTCAGAAAATATTATTGGAAGATATTGATGTTTTTCCCAGACGAAAAACATGTAAACCGAGGTGGAGTAGAGTTTGTTAGTTTCTGTGACCTCAGCCTATGAAGGGATTGTGTGGTCACCACAGCCGAAATAGGTGTTTTAAAAAGACAAAAAACATGTTGGTTGAGGTATGACGTATTTTTTATGTGGAGGAGGTTGGGTTGCGGCGGGAAGAGGGGGGGGGTCTGACTTTTTGTGACTATGTGTGACGTTGGGGAGGGAGAGTCAAGAAGATAAAAAAGGTCAATCAACCGTGACCCCTAAACCCACAGATGTCCAACGGGTTATGGGCCGTAGTCAACAGGTAACATTATGGAAGATTAAGAAACTAACAAAATAGTAATGCATTAAGACAACAGCAATATGATTCTTTCAACTTTATTTATTTATTTTCTTTTTTTTTTTTAGCATCCAAATCAAAAATAAAGTATCAGCTTTTAAAGACATTTTCTTTTAAACAGACAGAACAAAATGTTAATCAAAATTTCATTTTCTGTTTCAGCTCTTGAATTTTTTTTTCCGTCAAAGTTTATTTGGCTCCAAGAAGGAACAACAATGGAGTTTGTTTATGCAGTACAGGTCATCACATTCTCTCCGATACAGCCCCATAACGAAGGTGCCGTTCTTACAGAGGCAGCAACCTGTGTGGTCAAAGCAAGTGGAGATATCCTGATAATAACAATACCCATAACGAGGCGGATAATCTTTTGCTCTGGCACAGCGTCCTTCTGCGAGAGCGATAATTTTCGTACCATATGACCTGAAGAGACCTGTAAGGAAATGTCCAACTGGACATTCAACGGAGGAGTTTGGTTTAAACATATTCCACCAATTGGCAATACGAAAGGCCAAGCTTTCTGCCCACGGTGAAGGCTTGGTGCAGCAGACAGCACTCTCCAGTCTGCCGAGGTAGTCACTGGTTGGGACGTAGTCACTGCGACAGAAGCCCTGGATGATGTCACCAACACGGTCACACTGGGACAGCCCTAGTGTGTTGAAGCTATCGGACCAGTCCACCTCACGGCAATCAGACCACACACCAACAGCAAATATCAGCACGGCAAATACTTTAAATTCAATAGCGCTCCACATTTTCTAAAAAATATATAAATTTTTTTTTTCAATGTGAATACATCATATGAAACAGACATTTTAATATAGAGTGCATATTCAAAATCGTATGATTTTTCAATAATCTTTAAAAAATTAAACCTAAAAGAAAGTATGATTAGAAAGTTAATTAACTTCAATTGGATTGTAGAGACACTTTTGACATTTAATATTTATAATAACACTTAACGTTTAATATTCATTGTATACAATTATATAAAAGCTCTGTAAAATGTATTTATTCTTATGCCATTCAAAATGTGTTAATTGTAACTAAACGGACATGCAAGGGAACACTCAATCAGTCTTATTAAAACTTTTTCGCTGTAAAAAAAAAGAAAATATGAATCCATTTGTTTTCAAACCTTTAGTGTACAGCCAAGTAGAAATAGAAACCTCACGCCTTTCCTTCAGCAGAATACCATGAGACGGTGAATTGTGCAGCTTAAATAGAACAAACTGGTTATCATCAGCTTAAAGGATTTAATTAAGTCAGCGTCACGAACAGGGGCGTGGTCAGATGACCATATACAGCCATTGAGGGCCAAAGAGGAGTTGGTTATGTGTGCTCAATCTAAACATCAAGTCTAGTTTCTTTTCCATCTTTCTTTTAGTTTTAAACTCTTATTTTTAGATTGGCTAAGGTTCATGTTAAAGTGTATGTGTAGTTAAATAACGCTTAAACCTGAAAAATGGAAAAGTTCACAATAAACACGATACAAAGTGTGTGTGTAGTTGAGAGTCGAAACATTATGCGTTTAAGGAATCATGTAAATGCCAAACTTCTTAATGATTCAAATATTGTCTATAGTTTAGAAAAATAAAAGCGGTATTCAATGCTTAAAAGAATTCAAAGCTAAAATAATACTGCATCCCGAATTTATTGATCCTTTTTACTTTCTCGTATACAGAGTATAGAGGAAGTATTGTAATCGTACACAAAAATCACCATTTTACATCTCAGTACTTCATCACACACGGAGTATAGGGGACTTATTTTAATCGGGCAAAAATTCTACATCAAGATTTTTAAAAATTCGGCGTTTTATGCTTATTTGAGTAAAAAAAATCTGGGTTTTGCAATTCTCTCACTCTGTATGTGTGTGTGTGTGTGCGTGCGTGACTTATGTGCATAATGGTTACGTGGACAAAAACCTGCCTGATCTAGTCTTCATGTTTTGTCTGAAGTTTCATTAAGGCTCTCAAGCAAAATTCTGGTATAAACCCTGTTAGTGTCAGAAAATAGCATGTTCCTTTCCAATGGTTGCATCTAGAAGCAGGGCATTTTCCTGAAAGGCAACTGCACAGATGCCGTTTGCCTAAAGGTTATTTTGCCGAATGGACATATTCCAGATTGCGACAAATGTCCAGAAGGCACTTGCCGGTAGACCGTTTGCCCAAAATATGATAACGTTGAGCCCCTATCATCTAGTTATGCGCCATTGAGGCCAATGACTCCGATATCAGCCTGCTTTTCTTTATGGATTTTACTTCCTTAGCCTTAGTCCAACCAAGAACAAACTACAAGGCAGCAGTTGTTTGATTTTGGAGTTGTCTCTCCTAGATGAGTGGCTGTCCCCAAACAACGAGCCTCATCTGCCCGAGGGTTCGAACTATAGACTTTTTGGTTTAGCACCCACGAGCTTTACCATCTCGACTACGCCGACCCTCAAATATTTCGAATTTCCAAATGTGTTGCAACCCTAGCGAATGATTTTCAAAACTCCATTGTATCAAAACAGAACAGACTGCTTCGAATTTTTCCTTAACTTCAGATTTGAAGAATTAATGTTTCTCTTTGCTCATCAGTTATTGAATGTTAAATTTCTGATGTATTCCTCTTGCATGTCGTTGAATAATTTCAGCTTGGTCCTGAATGTTGTGACTAGCAGTTGTAGATCTGGAGCTACGTCTGCTTCTCCTTTTAATCTCACATTAAAGCAGGGGGGGGGACCACCATGCCGCCAGACAGACCCCGCAATGCAGGAGGGGGGGGAGGGGGAATGGACGTTTAGATTTATTTTCGTGTATGTTTGCTTGATTTTAATTTTGTAAACATTGTAAAATTACTGTAACTACGGTATTATTTCGTTTATTTTACAGATTCTATACCATCCTTTTCCGCACATTATTAAAAACCACTACACTAACTGTAGTGTTAAATATAGGCAGCACTTCAAATTTTAATGACTTCTGTGTCTCGTCGCTCCCTTTTGATAGCCGAATAGGGGTGCACAACACGTTCACACATTTGCATTATAACTGTTTGACCGGTCCGCAAAAGTGCACTGTGGCGGGATGGGGCAGGGTGTAGGACCGAATAAGGGGCTTGAAAATTGTCGCCAAAAGGACTATCGTGTCATACGTGGTTACTATTACATGGTTATTGTGCCATTCGACATTAAAATTTGGATTGCATGTATTATGAGATAAAACAATTAAAGGTGCATTTATTAACTCGATGATTTGGACCAATAAAGTAGTTGTCAAATATTGCCTTCATAATCTCTGTCACAATTCACCCTCACAGTCTTATATTGTTTTCGCGTTGTTTAAAATTAGATACAGGATTAAGCCTAGGGTAAGGGTAACGGTTAAGATAAGGACTAGGGCTAGGGTTAGGGCTAGGGCTAGGGTTAGGGCTAGGGCTAGGGTTAGGTTATGGCTAGGGTTAGGTTATGGCTAGGGTTAGGTTATGGCTAGGGCTAGGGCTAGGGCTAGGGCTAGGGCTAGGGCTAGGGCTAGGGCTAGGGCTAGGGCTAGGGCTAGGGCTAGGGCTAGGGCTAGGGCTAGGGCTAGGGCTAGGGCTAGGGCTAGGGCTAGGGCTAGGGCTAGGGCTAGGGCTAGGGCTAGGGCTAGGGCTAGGGCTAGGGCTAGGGTTAGGGTTAGGGCTAGGGTTAGGTTATGGCTAGGGTTAGGTTATGGCTAGGGTTAGGTTATGGCTAGGGCTAGGGCTAGGGCTAGGGCTAGGGCTAGGGCTAGGGCTAGGGCTAGGGCTAGGGCTAGGGCTAGGGCTAGGGCTAGGGCTAGGGCTAGGGCTAGGGCTAGGGCTAGGGCTAGGGCTAGGGCTAGGGCTAGGGCTAGGGCTAGGGCTAGGGCTAGGGCTAGGGCTAGGGCTAGGGCTAGGGCTAGGGCTAGGGCTAGGGCTAGGGCTAGGGCTAGGGCTAGGGCTAGGGCTAGGGCTAGGGCTAGGGCTAGGGCTAGGGCTAGGGCTAGGGCTAGGGCTAGGGCTAGGGCGAGGGCGAGGGCTAGGGCTAGGGCTAGGGCTAGGGCTAGGGCTAGGGCTAGGGCTAGGGCTAGGGCTAGGGCTAGGGCTAGGGCTAGGGCGAGGGCGAGGGCTAGGGCTAGGGCTAGGGCTAAAATTAAGGTTATGACTTAGGGTTAGGGTTATGGTTAGACCAAATTCTAGGCCTTAACATTGGCTTAGGCTTAAGGTTATTTTTATTGTTAGATAGAGATATAGGTTAGGGTTAAATATAAATGTAGAGTTTTATTATCGGGTTGTGGTTAGCTATACGTTTATGGTTGTGGTTGTGGTTATTGTTGTGGTTAAGTTTTTGGTAAAGGTTTTGAATATCGTAAGGGGTAGTAGTAAGTGTTGTGGATTGGATTAGAGCTGGATGGTTTTCGAGAGAGTAAGGTACCAGTTCTAGATGGGTGGTCTCACAGACAATACCAATCTTAGCAATTGGGATGCCTCACAGATATAAAGTACCAATACCAGCGGGGAAGTCTCACATATATTAGGCATAAATCCTAGCTACGTAGTCTCAAAATATAATTTTCCCGTCATAATTATCAACATTAGGTACCGTTCAACCACTCACTTTATAGTTTGTACAGAGTTATTGCTTTTAAGTTATTATAACTTTTACATAACAATAGAATGTCCATGTAAATTATAATAGTCTATATCATAAGCAAAATATTTTTTATGTTAGCAACAAAATGGAAGAAGGAATATCTGTAACAAATTATTTTGTTATTAAAAAAAACAAAAAAGTCATCGATAAATTTTTATTTTACTCTCTCTTGTGGCATCCAAATAATAAAAGATATTTTGTGTTTTAATGATTTTTTTTCTGTCAAACACAATGATAAAAAAAAAGTTAATTTTAAAATTCATGTTCCGTTTCTTTAATCTCTGATCATTTTTCCCTGTCTTACTTTACATTGTCTACATGAACGCACAGCAGCGGAGTTTGTTTATGCAGGACAGTGCATCACAGGCGCCACGGTACAACCCAGTAACGTAGGTGTCGTTCTTACATGTGCAACAACCGGACTGTTTAAAGCAAGAGGTGATGTCCTCATCATAACAAGGCCCATAACGAGGCGATTGACCTTTTGCTAGGTTACAGCGTCCTTCTTCGATGTAGAGAATAGTCCAGCCTTGTGTTCTAAAGAGGCCTGTAAGGAAATTTCCAGTGGGACATTCCACGTAGGCGTTTGCTCTATTAAACAAAGACCACCAATTAGCGTTGCGAAAATCGGTGCTATCTTTCCATGGAGAAGGCTTGCTGCAGCAGATAGCACTCTCCAGTAACCCGATGTGGTCGTAACCTGGATTGTAGTCACTTCGACAGAAACCCTGGATGATATCACCAAGTCGGTCACACTGGGACAGCCCTATTGTGTTGAAGCTATCGGACCAGTCCACCTCACGGCAATCAGACCACACGCCAACAGCAAACATCAGCACGGCAAATACTTTAAATTCAATAGAGCTCCACATTTTCTAAAAAAAAAAAAAAAAAAAAAAAAAACACCCAATAATTTAATGTGAATACTTTATATGAAACATACATTTATTTCAATACATAGTGCATTTTCAAAATCTTATGATTCTTTAAAAATCTAAAAAAAACTAATAAAAAATGTTAGAATGTTAATTTAATTTAAGTTTTTATCAGCATTAACACATTGGATTGTAGAGACACTTCCGACATTTAATATTTGTAATAACACTAAGACTTAACATTTAATTTTCATTTATTGCAACTACAAAAGCTGTCTAAAATGTATTTATTCCTATGCCATTCACCATTTGTTCATTAAAACTAAGCAGACATGCAATAGAACATTTAGTACTAATGATCAGTCTTGAATCTTTGTTACGGTAAAAAAAAGAAAATATGAATCCTTTTGTTTTCAAACCTTCAGTGTACAGCCAAGTAGAAATAGAAACCTCTCGTCTTTCCTTCAGTAGAATACCATGAGACGGTGAATCGTGCAGCTTAAATAGAACAAACTGATTATCATCAGCTTAAGGGGTTTAATTAAGTCAGCGTCACGAGCAGGGGCGTGGTCAGATGACCATATACAGTCATTGAGGGCCAAAGAGGAGTTGGTTATGTGTACTCAATCTAAACATCAAGTCTAGTTTCTTTTCCATCTTTCTTTGAGTTTTAAACTCTTATTTTTCAACATGGCTAAGGTTATTACATTTTAGAAAAACAAAATCGCTAAAATATGCATTGCGGAAAAGTTCACACTAGACACTAGATAAAGTGTATGTGCAGTTAATTAATTATTTTATTAAGAAATCACGAAAATGCCAAACTTTTTAATGTTTCAGAAACTGTCTATAAATTAGAAACAAACAACGATATTCCATGCAGAAACGGCCAGAACATAGTAAAAGTTATAATCTATTAAAAAAAAATATATATATAGCTAAAATAACACTTGCATCCTGAATTTCTTAATCTTTTGAAATCGCCTCTTGAATGCTATTCTTTAAAACTACAGATGTGAATAAATTGTACGTTAAATGATGAAACATAATACTGCATGGTATTCAATTTTCTTCATTCGAACACAGATAACAACATGGAATCATTTCTTTGCCCAGTAAAGTCCCATTTGTTAAGCGACAGGGCCGAAACAGAAAAATCGCTCTTTAGAATATGCAAATAACAGCAATTATACTGACTATATAAATGTTTAACGTTCAAATTGTTCTATGGCATTCATAATTATGAAAATTAGTCGTTTAGTGCAGATTTCAACAAGCTGGCTGCTCATTCTGTCTGGGTGTCTCAGGGTAGCCGTTGGGGTGGGGGGGGGGGGGGGGGTGGGATGTTATGTAAGTTAAAGAGCAAAAAAAAAACTTTGTACCCAGACAAAAAATAAGATTTGTTCACTTTGGTGGTCCCGAATGTAAAGAAAATTGCACTTGGTTAGTAAATTAGCGGTTGAGAGAATATTTCAACCACCTGGCTACTAAGTGAGTGTTCGGAAAGGTGGGGTGCGGGTGGGTGGGGTTCTACTGTAAGTTAAGAGTGTTCCAACAAGGTCATCTTAAGTGGACCCATTATAAAGCATAAAGACGCAACGACATCTCGCCATCGAACTCAATTTTCTGCGATCCCTCCAAGTTGGGTCCGTGACGTTGCTTCTGCTTGCTTTTCACTCACAAATGATCTTTCTAGAATTTTTTTGACCTAACTACTTTGTTTTTTTCTTGGGGATTCTAATCTAATGTTTGTATGGTGATCGTGTTTGCTGTTTTTCGCCACACGTGCACAATTAATCCCCATTCGCGCGTATGTGTTTGTTTGCCAATAATAACTATCCCATTATTTAAATAAACATTTCAGGCCACCTAATGTTCAATATGATACGCAGAGTTATTTGTTAATGAAAGTCTGAGTTTTGTTATTAGGTTGATGTACCCTGCATTTCCCAGAGTCCTGAAGGAACACAGATTTTATATGGCTGGTAAACAGTCGTATTTCGTAAAGCGTAGGAAGTGCTCTTAACGTCCATATTGTGTGAAGAGTGTTAAATGCGTACTTGCCGGTGCGGTTTTGGATGGTCTCATCTGCTTTTATTAGCTGTCTTAAGCGCTTCTCCTAGAGAGTTTGCTTAACTTGGTCTAGACAAGCTGATGCTGATCTGATAGGAGGCTGACACCGCCCATCTGTTAATAAGGGGTCTACTGAATTCATGCTTTTTGGAATAAGGTCTTATAATCCAGAATAATTATAAGAAAACAATCATTGTCGGAAGCATGCAGTCTCGCTGCAGCCGATTAGATGTTAGCATATGTAATCTGGTGGAGGTTTCGCGTTTCATTTGATAGATGTTGATGAATTTCGTAGGGTTCATCAATCTCCAAACGACATCTCTATCCACAGTAACAAATGCCTCATTAAAATCGACAAATATCATGTATATAAACAATTGCCACTATATTGACTGGTTTATAGTTATGTGCGTAATTGCACACCTAATTAAAGCCTTTCAGGATCTACGAAACTGTTTCTTCTGCACAAAATAGTCACAATGTTTCATCAATACAAAGCTTATCCTTAACAATATGGCTGTTGGTACACCATGGCGATGTTCAGTAATTAACAAAAATACAAAAACCCGAGTTATCACGATACGTAGTTATTTGGAAAATTAATGCCATTAAATAAGACTCAAAAAGTCTCTAGTTCAATTCACGGGTTCTCATGGGTACCTGAATCACATTATGGAAACCAAAGCTGCTGGGCATAGTGTTGAACACAAAAACTCTACGTCATATCTATATGTAGTGTACTAAGCATAGTCGAAACAAAACAGTTAAAATGGTAAGGGCGTGGCACACAAGCCAAGGGCCTATCAAAAAATTATAATATAGGGCAAGGTGCCAGGAGGGAGAAGACGGTTTAAGACAAAGACGGCTTAGAGGACACAAAGGAGTAGACTGGGCTGGCAGAAAATTTTGAGGACATCAACTGTGATGTCCCAACGATCCCAGATGTTAAGGGACGATTGACTAAACACTAACTACTCTCTCATCTAACCCTACACTTCTATCTCTGGCCCTCCAAATCGTTTGAGTCTAAGCTAAGTATATGGCGGAACTAGAAAAATAGGGCCACCCAGCAAAAAAATATATTTTGCCCCCCAGCCATATATATATATATATATATATATATATATATATATATATATATATATATATATATATATATATATATATATATATATTCCTTTTTAAAAAATATACTTTTATTTTCAATATCTCACTTATACCCGCCTAAAATTATATGAACAATTGTTGTTAGGTGGCTAGTCAAAAGTATTGAAACACGGAGGTTTAATATGTGTCATGGTTTCCCTGGTTTGTTTTATTTTTTGTGTTTTTCTGCATTGATCTTTATAATTTTAAAAACATTCATTTGTACAGCAGTGTCATTCTTTAGTATACTTTAATTTAATAATAATTAAAATAAGAAATTGCTTTGGAATGTGCTTAGTGCAAAACTTAAAATTATTAGACTATTCAAATAGGGGCGTTAACTCGTGTAAGAGGTTTGAATGATTGCCTGTCTTAACACTACAGCTCATGTTAGTTTTCTGTTTGCCCTTTTTTCTGTTTGTGCTTTTTTTCTGTTGGCGCTTTTTTCTGTTTGCGCTTTTTTCTGGTGGCGTTTTTTTTTTTCTGTTTGCGCTTCTTTTCTTTTTGCCTTTTTTCTGTTATCGCTTATTTCTGTTTGCGCTTTTTTCTGTTTGCGCTTGCTTACGTTACGCAATGTTTTTTGCGCATTTTTCCGTTGCGCTTTTTTGGGGGCTGGGGCTGGGGCTGGGGCTTGGGCTGGGGCTGGGGCTGGGGCTGGGGCTGGGGCTGGGGCTGGGGCTAGGGCTAGGGCTAGGGCTAGGGCTAGGGCTAGGGCTAGGGCTAGGGCTAGGGCTAGGGCTAGGGCTAGGGCTAGGGCTAGGGCTAGGGCTAGGGCTAGGGCTAGGGCTAGGGCTAGGGCTAGGGCTAGGGCTAGGGCTAGGGCTAGGGCTAGGGCTAGGGCTAGGGCTAGGGCTAGGGCTAGGGCTAGGGCTAGGGCTAGGGTTAAATTCAGGTTGAGGTATATGGTTAGTGTTTGGGTTACTGATAGCGTTAGACTATGCCCAGTCCTTAGCATTGGCTTAAGTTTATTGTTATGGTTAGATAGAGGTATAAGTTAGGTTGGATCTAGATTTTTAGTATCGGGGTTTTGATTAGCTATACGTTTAAGGTTGTTGTTGTGCTTATGGTTAGGGGTAAAGGTTAGGGATTGGATTAGAGCTGGGTGGTCTCACAGACCTTTACCAGTCATAGCAGCTGTGTTGTCTCGGAGACATTAAGGTACCAGCGCTAGATGGGAAGTCTCACACACCAATACTTGATTAGAACTCTCAAAGACATTAAGGTACCAATACTAACAGGAGGCCTCACAGATATTAAGCACCAATCGCAGATAAGCAGTCTCGAAAATATATTTTTTTCGTCATCTCTAAACAAGACGTACCGTTCAATCACTGACTCGTTCAGTGTTTTTGCTTAGACTTAAGTTATAATAACTTTTACATAACAATAAAATATGTGTATAGTATATGCGAGATATTTTTTATGTTAGAAACAAAATGGAAGAAGGAACAACTGTAACAAATTATTTTTGGATTATGAAGACGAAAAAATCATAGATAAATTTTTATTTAATTTTCTCTTCTGGCATCCAAATAAGAAATGACGTTCGATGTTTTAATGTATTTTCTGTCAAAACAGTGATCAAAAATGTTAATTTATATTTCATATGGTCTTTTTTCCTCCGTCAAACGTTACTCTTTCTGGATAAACGAACAGCAGCGGAGTTTAGTTAAACAGTACAGAGCATCACAGTATCCGCGGTACAGACCAACAACGTAGGTGCCGTTGTTACAAGTGCAGCAGCCTGACTTGTCAAAGCAAGAAGAGATATCGTGCTCGTAACAATACTCGTAACGAGGCGGATGGCCTGGTGCTCTGGTACAGCGTCCTTCTTCAATGTTCATAATTTGCCAGCCATTTGATCTAAACAGCCCTGTAAGGAAACCTCCAACTGGACATTCAGCGGAGGTGTTTGCTGTACCAAACAACCTCCACCAATTAGCAGTGCGATACTCGTAGCTTTCTCCCCATGGCGTAGGCTTGGTGCAGCAGATAGCACTCTCCAGTAACGCGATGCTGTCTAAGACTGGAGAGAAGTCACTTCGACAGAAACCCTGGATGATGTCACCAACACGGTCACACTGGGACATTCCCATCTTGTTGAAGCTATCGGACCAGTCCACCTCACGGCAATCAGACCACACACCAACAGCAAATATCAGCACGGCAAATACTTTGAATTCAATAGAGCTCCACATTTCTGAAATGCAGTAATTTAATTTGAATACACAATACTGAAACAGAAACAGTCTTAAGAAAATGAATACTCAATATATATGTTTTCTAGAATTTTGAAACAACAAAAGCTCAATTAAAATTAGATTTTTAAATCAAATAAATTTAAATTAAAAATAAGTGTTCAATAACCTTAAAATACTTATTTGATTTTTAATTACAAATGTATAATATTCATTACTTGTAACTATACATGTCGTCTAACAATTTTTGATTGTAATTACACATGTTACTTAAAATTATTAACTCCTGATTAAAATGCTTTACTCTACATATTATGCAAATAATATTCATTACTTATATTTCATCTCTAATCAAACTAGTAAATTAATTTATTATTTGTCAAACTCAAAAATACTAATTAAATAAAATTATTTGTTTTCAAACCGTCAATGCACAGCCAAGTAGAAATAGAAACCTCTTGTCTTTCCTCCAGTGAAGTACCCTGAGACAGGGAATCGTTCTGCTTAAATAGATTTTCAGTGATTTACGTGATTTTCATTGGCTTAAAGAGCTTAACTAAGCCAGCGTCACGAACAGGGGCGTGGACAGATGACCATATACAGTCATCGAGGGTCAAAGATGACTTGATTATGTGTAACCAATCGGACCATATACAGCCACGATAAGGCAATGAGTGCGTAATGTAAACAATAAGCCTACTTACCCTCCCAACCGTTCATTTGGTTAAACTCTTATTTTGGACCTTATATAAAACTAGCCGTCGGTAGCCGTTAGACGTAAATTATTGGCCTATATATTTGTAATGTTATACATTTTTGAAAAGAAATATTTTATAAAATATTATTGCTCAAAACACAATGTGCTTTATTACACATTGAACGATATTTTTGACAATGCAAAGAAATAACTAAATATCTTTAAAAATTCGACAATTTGAAATAACATAGGCTATAAATACCTATTAGAAAAATTAAAACCAAATTATATACATTATTAGTCAACACAACACATAATTAAATGCACACACTGATTAAGAGACTTAAATGAATCCGTTAAAAACCCGGACATAAATTGTTTTTTAAAAGTAATTTGTATTTCTTCTACCGAGAAAATAGTATACATTTCGTAGCGTACGTCTCCATAAGTAGATTTATAGAATCTAGATCTAAATCAAATTTTAGTAAAATAGTTCATTTCTTCATATTCTAAAATTGGATGATGACGCCATTAGTGTTGTTTTCTTTCTGTAGTTTTAACATGTGGCGTGTGACGTCATTGTTTTTTGCGTTCTAGTCACAACCATAAAAACTTTTCCGGTTGCATAATTAAAAAATGTGTTTTTACATTCGAATATTGCTTTATTTTTATTTTCTTTCTTTAAATAAAATTTAGTAAATACATTTAAAACATCAACCATATAATTTTCATCGAGAGCCCGTATCTTTATGTTCTCCGTATATCGCTGAAGATACTGATCTCTTAGGCTCGGGACATGCGGACAGAGAGAGAGAGAGAGAGAGAGAGAGAGAGAAGTGCGCACATAGGCTTTTATATATTAGAACTAGCGTGCCCGTCTCCGCGCGTTGCCGCAGGGATATAAGAAAGTCTGACGAAATATTTTAAGAGGGTTTCATCATTGCGTTATCATACCTATATTCTTTGACATGTGATCATGTTTTCTAAAACTGAGTTATTTGAATTTAAACAATGCCTGCGCTATATTTCTTGGATCATATTAGTCAAAGCACCTAATTGCACCGTAACGGTGCGCCGACGGATGCGCCTGATTCGATTTAGTGAATGACTATAATTTATGATCTTACCCTTATTCTATCACACTCTTTTAAACGAACGTATGCGCCATAGCGCTAATGGGAAAGCCAGGGTAGCCAAAATCGCCCCCTTACGGAGAGCCTAATTCGATTTAGTGAGCGACTATAGCAACCCATTGTATCCATAGACTATCGTATTTTTAAAACGAATGTAGGCTCCATAATGCTCACGGGAGAGTCATGGGCGCCAAATAGCCCCTGCCGAGATGCCGGAGGACGCGCTGATTCAATTTATTCAACGGTTATTGCTGCCCATCGTGTCTTTAGTACATAGCCTTTTTTAAAACGAGCTTAGGCGCTATAGTGCTTACAAGGGAGCCCGGGTCGCTTCGGGTCAATCAATCTCCGTGGCGCCTGTTGCAGATTTACCGCTGAATATAGTAGTACCCTTACCTGCAACGTCCAATTTCTTTTTGTAGAAACCTCCCCTGACATGATCGCATGAACAGTGTCATACCGCAATCGACTTTGTTTTTTATATACAGTATAGAGAGAAGAATCGACAGTGGGGCGCCGCCCTTGCGAAATGTAAACATTTTGTTTCGCAGAAACCTTACCAGTAGCATTCTCAACAACTTCCCAAAGTTTTATGGCGGTAAGATGAAAGGTGTAGTAATGCATAAAAGACAAACAAACACACACATACTTTTAATTATATGTAACTTGAAATACGGAGAGGGTAGTGTAGTTTAGAAACTATGATCATCTTCATTATATTTTAAATATTGTCTATATTCTAACTACATGAGGGTCATCGCTGTCTATTATTCTGTACAATCGTAAGTTAATAAATAGTATGTCAAAAGATGAAATCAAATACAGCACAGTATTCACATCTTCCTTGACTAAGCACATGCAACAACATTAGGTCACCATGTTCCCCGGAAATATGTTTTGTTACATAGACTATATCAACCTATTCATGCTTTATGAAATGGCAAATAAAATAGCGTTTCGCTTGATGAGTGATCGACAGTGTTTGAATATTTAATTTTCTTGACGTTCAATGAACTGCCATATGCAGTTCAATATACAGCTATCATTTCGAATCTGAACGTCGATGAGGGCAAGTGAATTAAAGTTTACCTGTTTCAGTGACCTCGGCATTCGAAGCGATATTGTGATCAGCACTATGCCCAGTCGCCTTTTACTTTCCTTAAGGTACCCATCAGAGCAGGGTAGACTCATGGATGTTCCACTGACTTGAACCCGGATTGGAACTCGAGACATGCACAGTTCGTATGTTCATATTTAGAAACTGTCAGTGTTGACGCACCTACCTTGGAATAAAGGTGGCTGTATTTACACGTTAAATAAATAAAAGTTCTAGTTTAAGAACAGTTTTTATCTGGAAACCATAGGAGGAATTTACATCACTGGAATGGATTAGAATCCACATCACCCGGTAGGTGATGGTTTAGAATCAACTGCAAAAGAGGAAGAGGTCTAAAAAAAATCGCAAAAATATATTTTATGAGGTAGATTCAGTAGTTTTCAACTCCCCTTAAGTGAATGAAATAATTCCGTTGAAAACCCGGCTATTCAATTGGAATTTGTATGTTTTTTAAAGGGATAGGCTCAGTTTTTTTAATGCACATTTTTTTTACAATTTAAGATTCAAAGCCTTTTGAATACTTTTACCATGTTTGGCACATGAAAGTTAGTATTAAACAGCAAAAAAAAGGTTGAAATTTATTTCGGTTTTCTTGAAAACACCAATAAAAAAACCCTCCACCAATTTGAATTTTTTGGTACTTCTATGGCGTTTTTATTTATACACTTATAACAATCAAATTTAGACGTCTTATATTCCAGCATGTATAAACACTTTTGTCCCGACAACTTTTTGTTAGAGATACTGGTCAGAATTCTACTAGGTCTGAAAAATCACAGTTTATAGTATGCAAAAGTTTTTAAAATTTGCGTATTATTTGACATAAACTTTTTTTTTCTATGAAAGCCATCACAATTCTCTCGTGACAAAAGTTTTAATTTTGCATGAACAATAATTATGAAAATAAAATATGGTAGGCAATGTTTTATAAATAACAAAGAAGTAGTCTTTCTAGTGTTAAAGAACTGCGAATTGCGAAAAACAGAAACAGCAACCACAAAAAAATGCCATTTCTTTGTAATTTGTAAAGCCAATCGTAAGCTTTGAGTGTTTCCAAGATGATGGAAAATACGATTATCAAATACAATGAAGCTATCCAATGATCCAAAAAGCAATATGATGACAGATATTAAATCTTTAGTAGAGAGCTTGTAAGTTCGAGATTTTTTTTTTTTTTATTGAAGTGGTCATGAAATAGTATTTTAAACACATTTAGATTTTTTCAATAAAATTTATTATTTTCTTAATTAAAAAAATGGACAATATATCCAAAAGTACGACAAAAAAATCAGGATTTTAAAATTTGCTTAGGCGCATATCCCCTTAAACTAATTATTCTTATTTTCGGCCGAAACAAATTGTATAAATTTCAAAGCATACATCGTTATAAGTATATCTATAAATCTAATTTATATGAAATAATTCGTTTTTTCACATTCTAATATTGAAAGATGTGGGAAGCAAATCTTATTGAAGATGAAGCCATTAGTATTGTGTATCATTTTCGAGCTTCGATTTTCTATTTATATTTTTTATCCGAAAATCATTGCCACCATAATGTTTCTGTACTATCCGTAGTATTAAACTTTTTTTTAACAAATCATAGTTTCAGGAAGATATTTTTATATTTCTTTAATGTGACGTCATTCTTTTCGCGAGTGATCTTTTTTGTACTACTTATATGTTTTCTAGAGCGTTCTTATCAGAAACACTTCATCGGTTGTATAATTAAAATTGTGTTTCTAAATTGGAATATGTCTTTATTTTTATTTTCCGTCTTTAAATAAAACTTAGTTTATACATTTAGTACATCCAACATATTATTTTGAACTTAAGTCCGTATCATTAAGTTCTCCGTCTATAGCTGAAGAGATTGATCTCATATCTTCGGAAAATATGTTGCACAGAGAGATAGAGAGAGAGAGGGGGGGGGGGTTCGTACATGGGCTTTTATATATTAGGATTTCATCATTGCCAAAGTATAGCATTCATATTTATCATTTTATACAGGTTTAAGACTAAAGGCTTATCTATTTCATAAAGGTTGAGATCAAAGGCTTATCGCGTCATACGGGATTTAGATTAAATGCGTATAGTGTCAAACAGGGTTAGGATTACAGACTTCCTACGCGGTTAAGATTAAAAGGTTATCTTGTAAGTCAAGATTAAGGTTTAAGGCGTACTATTTCATACGCGGTAAGGATTAAAGTATTATCGCGAAATCCTAGTTAAAGATTATAGGCTCATCTTGTGGTTTGGAGTTAATACCGAACGGATCTTTTTCATGGTATACAAGGTTATGAGAAAAACGTGTAACAAATACAGTTATCAATAATGTTTCTTGCTTAATTTAAGCCACATAGCTATAAAGATTCCCACTTAATTAGACCATTTGTTTAATTAATAACGCTATATAGTTATTTCCCTATATTATGATCTTATAGACATTAACGTACAAATTCTCTCTGGGTGGCGTCAAAGACATTAAAGGTACTAATACTAGTTGGGAAGTCCCACATATATTACGGCACCAATCGCAGCTAAGTGGTGTCACTGGTATAGTTCTCTAGTCTTTCATGATGGCAAACCTGCACTCTACAGTTAAATTATTAAAGCATAAAATAAAACGTAGAAATATTTCATTTATTAGAAGAAGAAGAATGCTGTGAGGGTATGTTAATCACCTTGGATTATCATTCCAGATGATTGAATAAAACACATGCTGCTGTTGTATCTCTCTGTCGTCTACCATGATTATTCTTATTTTGAAAATACAACAGAGTATTAATCCGACTGACCCGTATAGGAACCAAACATTTTTCTCGTAAACTATTTCATTATTCAGGTCCAATTTCTGCGCAGCTGCTATGGATATATTTATGAATAGTTTTAAAAATCCTCTTAACAAATCTATGTTTCTGTTTTACAATTCGTTACTGTAACTTGATACTTAAAAGATGTAACTCCTAATCTGGAATAAAAGAATAACGATAATCTAAGAGGTGGGTTAGTGGATTATTTGCTTGGCAGATAATACGTTAATGCTGGTTAACGGAAGGTTTATTTGTAACTTAGATAATACGACTCTGCGGGTTCATGTTTGTTTTGTTTACATATATGTTAGAGATTATTGCATGCGGGATTTGAGACAATAAGAGCAAGACTGCTGCGATATTGATATAGAATTATCGCATGTTTGGGGGTTTACTGCTACATGTCAGTTATGCTGGGGGATCAGTGGATTAAGTAAAATCACGATAAGTCTTGCTGAGGTTACTTTGGCTGGCAAAGTAAGGGAAGTAAAATTACAACGTCAGACAAGGGCAGAACTCGGTTCGCCTTCAGATTATGCGCCATTGAGGCCATTGACTCAGATTTCAGCCTGCTTTTATTTTTGGATTTGCTTCCATAGCCTTTGTCCAACTAAGAACAAACTACAAGGCAGCAGTTGTTTAATTTTGGAGTTGTCTCTCCTGGAAAAGTGGCTGTCCTCAGCTAACGAGCCTCATCTGCCCGAGGGTTCGTACTCGAGACTTTTCGGTTTAGCAACCATGAGCTTTACCGACTCGAACACGCCGACCCCAGGGCGTTGCCAAATTACCAAATGTTCCATGAACAGTTCAAAACCCTTCACATAAACACTAACAGCTTAGACCCCTTCACGGCAATACTGACAGTTCAGTCCCTTCACGGCAATACTGACAATTCAGACCACTTCACGGCAATACTAACAGTTCAGACCACTTCACGGCAATACTAACAGCTTAGATCCCTTCACCTCAGACCACATAGACCAGGCAGTCTCTTTCTTACACGAAATACTCAAGTTTGTCCCTGAACTCGAGTCCGTCATTTCACAGAGGATAGATAAGTACCTAACTACACCTATCGGAAAGCTCAAGTGTCTGGGCATAGATAAGTCAATGTCACAAAAACAGGTCGACTCTACTTGTTCTGCCATATCGACCATCAACTCCGAAAGAGTGACTTTACGCTGGTATTATGAGAGAAGACGCCCCCAGCCCACTTTTACATTCAGCTGCTCTACTATTGATTTTTATCTTATCCCATATAAGCTCTGAATGTCCCGAGCTCATTTATTTATTCAAGCTGTAACTTGAGCGAGAGGTCAAGTAAGTTTTTCTTTATTCAATTACACGCACATAACTTCCTATAAAACGTGTTTATGCAAATTACGAAATATTTTGTTGTAAAAAGGTTATCTATGTTTGACTAAACGCTACACCGAGGAAGAACATATTTATTTTCGCTACCCTATTTAAAGATGTTTAGAGCAAATACTCGTTTTTAAAACTAGAGTTCAAGACCTTTAAAATCCAATTAAATCATATTTTGATAAAATAATTCAAGTATACCTAAACATTTTAAAATCTATTTTATACTCGTTTTAAAAAAATACATGTACATCATTAATAATAGAGATTCCGTGTTATCAAAATAATATCGGCCAGTGTATAAAGCATACAAAGAAACACATTCCTGAATCTGCACATCCCAATCAGAAAGCTGTGTCCTTAGTTTGAGCTTATTCTTCGTTCTTAATTGTAATGTGGGATGGGTTTCTTTCAACAAAATTATTCCCTGTCAATGTGTTATACCCCATATAGGCCATTTACACGATTCAGCCTGCTTTTTTTTTGATTTGCTTCCTTAGCCTTTGTCCAACTAAGAACAAACTACAAGACAGTTGTTTAATATTAAAGTTTCTCACCTAGGTGGGTGGCTGTTCCCAGCTTTCGAGCGTCATTTGCATATACGTTAGTAGTATATTAGGTCACTTTTGGTTATCATTTGGGTGGCGCAGCAGCCTGGGACAACGAGATATAGCAAAATACTCGCAGGGTGAAGGGTGAGGCGCAGGGTGAAGAGGGTGGCGCAGGGTGGCGCAGCAGCCTGGTACAACGAGATATAGTAAAATACTCGCAGGGTGAAGGGTGAGGCGCAGGGTGAACAGGGTGGCGCAGGGTGGCGCACCAGCCTGGGACAATGAGATATAGTAAAATACTCGCAGGGTGAAGGGTGAGTGGCGCAGGGTGGCGCAGCAGCCTGGGACAATGAGATATAGTAAAATACTCGCAGGGTGAAGGGTGAGGCGCAGGGTGAACAGGGTGGCGCAGGGTGGCGCACCAGCCTGGGACAATGAGATATAGTAAAATACTCGCAGGGTGAAGGGTGAGTGGCGCAGGGTGGCGCAGCAGCCTGGGACAATGAGATATAGTAAAATACTCGCAGGGTGAAGGGTGAGTGGCGCAGGGTGGCGCACCAGCCTGGGACAATGAGATATAGTAAAATACTCACAGGGTGAAGGGTGAGTGGCGCAGGGTGGCGCACCAGCCTGGGACAATGAGATATAGTAAAATACTCGCAGGGTGAAGGGTGAGTGGCGCAGGGTGGCGCAGCAGCCTGGGACAATGAGATATAGTAAAATACTCACAGGGTGAAGGGTGAGTGGCGCAGGGTGGCGCAGCAGCCTGGGACAATGAGATATAGTAAAATACTCGCAGGGTGAAGGGTGAGTGGCGCAGGGTGGCGCAGCAGCCTGGGACAATGAGATATAGTAAAATACTCGCAGGGTGAAGGGTGAGTGGCGCAGGGTGGCGCAGCAGCCTGGGACAATGAGATATAGTAAAATACTCGCAGGGTGAAGGGTGAGTGGCGCAGGGTGGCGCAGCAGCCTGGGACAATGAGATATAGTAAAATACTCGCAGGGTGAAGGGTGAGTGGCGCAGGGTGGCGCACCAGCCTGGGACAATGAGATATAGTAAATATATATATATAGTAAATTTTAATTAATTTTTTATAATTAGTTTGAATTTAATTTAATTACTTTGTTTATATTGTGTAATTTTTTATTGACCTTGTGACGTAATTTTAACGAATTTTTTAAATTAGTTTTAATGAGTTTTTAAAATTATAATTAATTAATATTACGTAATTTGATTATTTGTTTGATTTAAATTGTTTAATTTGATTGTTTACTTATTGTTTATTTGTTTGAAATTCATTTTATGCAGTTTGATTTTAACTACTTTGTGTATTTGTTTTATTTGTTTGATATATTTATTTTCTTTGATGTATAGTATTTAAAATAAAAGACTAACGCTAACGTATACTTTGTGTCATGACTTCCATTTAACCAGTCGTGTAACACCTGTTACGTATCGATTCACCAGCTATCCTTTGTTTTCTCACCGCTGCCCGTTTTAATGGGAATGTATTGATCGCAGCCGCTGGCCCATCACAGCATGATGTCCCACCTAATTAAATTTTTTTTTTTTTTTTTTTTTTTTTTTTTTTTGTTATGCTTCACCGAGTTACCCCCGCTCGGTTGACGGGTTATGGTAATTAACGACATACATTAAGTAGCTTTCCGCGAAGCACTTAGGTCATTATGCAACAGCTGTTGTGCGACAGCTGGTGCTGTAATTAGGCCGTTCAACCGGATAAATGACCGCGAAAATTGTGTTCTAATCACTTCAACTTCGGACTTCAAATCAAGCGTCACCGCGACTTATCCAGCCTGCGACCTCTGTTGACTCCTGAGACTAAACCCACGCCAGCTTTACCAACCATCACATCCACCTAACCCTATACGGACCACATCTTTTGTGCGTGTTTATTCTATTAAAGGTAAGGTTAATATTACTTTTTGTTTTAAGGGAGCTAACCCCATTAAAATACCCTTTAAATAAATATGTATCTAAATAAGTAGTCATATGTATTCCTTTTAGTGTACAACCGACCCTACGAGACAGACTAACCATCGACCGAACCTATTGAACTACCTACCCATCCCCGAGGCACCCACTGAACCAAACGTTCCAGCTACATCCAACTACACCATTTCGGATCTCCACACACAGCTAACTTCACGTTCAGCTTACGCGTTCAAACCCATAGGTACGTTCATTTTTAATTTTGTTTTAAGTATGATTTTTGTTTCATACATTTTATTTTATGTATTTATTTTTATTCTACAGCCAGTGACCTACCCAGTCATCCAACTACTAGACACTTCGTCAATAATGCAAACCGCCCAGTCTACCACCCATCCAGCCATGAGCCGTAACAAGTGTGACATATGCAACCGTGTGTTCACCCGCAAAGACGGTTTGACAAGACATCACGACTCTGTTCACCGCCGACAAGGACATCTCTGTACAACATGCGGGAATCTATTTACACGACTTGACAATTTAACAAGACATTGTAAAACAACACACACCAACCAAACATCACCGACCGACACCCCATCAGCAACCGATAGACAAACTCCACAACCACTATACGTGACCGACAGACAAACCATGCAACCCCTAGCAGCGACCCAAACAACTCGTACCATGACCAACACTATTCCATTAAAGCGACATACGATGTATGACGACAAAACAAACAACAAACGCGTAAAGACTAACAACCACAGTAACGTTAATTCACACACCACTATTTTTCCTGTAGACGACCTAGCCATGATACGTTATACATGTGACATATGTGAGCATGCATTCAACTGCAAACATGGTTTGAAACGACATCACGATACGGCACACAGACGACGAAGACATACATGTAGAGAATGTTTGCAAGAATTTACAAGAAAATATAATTTAACGAACCACTATAAAATACCACACACCATCAAAACATTACCAGACGACACATCAGCGACCGACACGAATATCCCATAGGATGACTTCTCACAGACATCTCCTTACACCCAACACAGAAACTCACTTTCTTACTTTTATATTAAAAGACAAGTAGACACAATGTGACATCTCCCCTAGACTGTAGACCGATGGGGTTGTTTTTATTCAATAAAAATTTATTATATATGGTCTTTTGTGATTTTTTAATGTGTTATTGTTTTGTTACTTGTCCCTGAAAGTTATGTAACTCGGTATCCTGTATAAGAGGTATGACTGGAATCAAAATCACGGGAGAGAACGTGACGTACATCGCGATATTTGAAAACAGGGCGATGTTTAACCTCAACCAAAAAAGACAATGAACCTAGAAGGAAGACGAATATATATCTTAGTCTTGCAGCAGATTACCTTCCCATGTTCGCTTTAGTATTACAGTTTTCATCAAACTTCTTTTTGACTTGAACTTCGTTAATTTTTAACAAAGTTTACTTATACATAATACATTACGTCTAATGACAATTTTTTATTTTTACCACTCAATGTATTTTCTTTTTCTATATCTTACATTGTCATCTTAATTTTTGATCACCTTAGTAAAAATTTGCTTAAGATTATAAAATTCAAGTTTTAAAAAACAACAACGTTATAGTACGTCGTGTCAAATGACACACCGTTTAAAATGTCTACATTTAAAGTTCACCAAAATAATGACGTAAAATCTAAATATGATATGACGTTAGCATACATATCATTCAACCTAATCACTCTAAAGTACAAATCAATAATTTTTATTGATTAAGGGGCTGGGTGAGTTATTTTTATCACTATTCACCCTTCCCCTTCCCTTTGTCCGCAACCCCGTTCCCCTTCTCCCATCCAACCTTGCGTCATCACACTAACCTCAATACCAACCGTTAGATAAACAGACCGTACTACTACTACTACCCGCACTATACCTATTCCATTTAAGAGACAAAGGCTGTATGACAATCCTACAGACAAATATTTATTCAACTAATATCACAACCCCCTAGAAACCACTCCAACAGACTGGGATACATAACTTGTAGACACCACTCCTCGTTGAATATCTCTTGCACCCTACCTACATCGACAACTTTGTCCGCCGCCCTCGCCCCCGTCCCTAGTATGAACTCGGTTACCAACAATTTCAAAACATGCATGTTCCGAGTTCAAAACCAACCTTCACCGACACTACTATGAACTCGGCCCCTAACACTTCCAAAACATGCCTGTACTAACTTTGAAACCACCATCGGTGAAAACTTCACCGACCTTAGTATGGACTCTACACCTACCGATTCCAAAACATGCATGTTTTGGAATTGTTGGTAGCCGAGTTCATACTAGTGTCGGTGAAGGTTGGTTTTGAACTCGGAACATGCATGTTTTGAAATTGTTGGTAACCGAGTTCATACTAGGGACGGGGGCGAGGGCGGCGGACAAAGTTGTCGATGTAGGTAGGGTGCAAGAGATATTCAACGAGGAGTGGTGTCTACAAGTTATGTATCCCAGTCTGTTGGAGTGGTTTCTAGGGGGTTGTGATATTAGTTGAATAAATATTTGTCTGTAGGATTGTCATACAGCCTTTGTCTCTTAAATGGAATAGGTATAGTGCGGGTAGTAGTAGTAGTACGGTCTGTTTATCTAACGGTTGGTATTGAGGTTAGTGTGATGACGCAAGGTTGGATGGGAGAAGGGGAACGGGGTTGCGGACAAAGGGAAGGGGAAGGGTGAATAGTGATAAAAATAACTCACCCAGCCCCTTAATCAATAAAAATTATTGATTTGTACTTTAGAGTGATTAGGTTGAATGATATGTATGCTAACGTCATATCATATTTAGATTTTACGTCATTATTTTGGTGAACTTTAAATGTAGACATTTTAAACGGTGTGTCATTTGACACGACGTACTATAACGTTGTTGTTTTTTAAAACTTGAATTTTATAATCTTAAGCAAATTTTTACTAAGGTGATCAAAAATTAAGATGACAATGTAAGATATAGAAAAAGAAAATACATTGAGTGGTAAAAATAAAAAATTGTCATTAGACGTAATGTATTATGTATAAGTAAACTTTGTTAAAAATTAACGAAGTTCAAGTCAAAAAGAAGTTTGATGAAAACTGTAATACTAAAGCGAACATGGGAAGGTAATCTGCTGCAAGACTAAGATATATATTCGTCTTCCTTCTAGGTTCATTGTCTTTTTTGGTTGAGGTTAAACATCGCCCTGTTTTCAAATATCGCGATGTACGTCACGTTCTCTCCCGTGATTTTGATTCCAGTCATACCTCTTATACAGGATACCGAGTTACATAACTTTCAGGGACAAGTAACAAAACAATAACACATTAAAAAATCACAAAAGACCATATATAATAAATTTTTATTGAATAAAAACAACCCCATCGGTCTACAGTCTAGGGGAGATGTCACATTGTGTCTACTTGTCTTTTAATATAAAAGTAAGAAAGTGAGTTTCTGTGTTGGGTGTAAGGAGATGTCTGTGAGAAGTCATCCTATGGGATATTCGTGTCGGTCGCTGATGTGTCGTCTGGTAATGTTTTGATGGTGTGTGGTATTTTATAGTGGTTCGTTAAATTATATTTTCTTGTAAATTCTTGCAAACATTCTCTACATGTATGTCTTCGTCGTCTGTGTGCCGTATCGTGATGTCGTTTCAAACCATGTTTGCAGTTGAATGCATGCTCACATATGTCACATGTATAACGTATCATGGCTAGGTCGTCTACAGGAAAAATAGTGGTGTGTGAATTAACGTTACTGTGGTTGTTAGTCTTTACGCGTTTGTTGTTTGTTTTGTCGTCATACATCGTATGTCGCTTTAATGGAATAGTGTTGGTCATGGTACGAGTTGTTTGGGTCGCTGCTAGGGGTTGCATGGTTTGTCTGTCGGTCACGTATAGTGGTTGTGGAGTTTGTCTATCGGTTGCTGATGGGGTGTCGGTCGGTGATGTTTGGTTGGTGTGTGTTGTTTTACAATGTCTTGTTAAATTGTCAAGTCGTGTAAATAGATTCCCGCATGTTGTACAGAGATGTCCTTGTCGGCGGTGAACAGAGTCGTGATGTCTTGTCAAACCGTCTTTGCGGGTGAACACACGGTTGCATATGTCACACTTGTTACGGCTCATGGCTGGATGGGTGGTAGACTGGGCGGTTTGCATTATTGACGAAGTGTCTAGTAGTTGGATGACTGGGTAGGTCACTGGCTGTAGAATAAAAATAAATACATAAAATAAAATGTATGAAACAAAAATCATACTTAAAACAAAATTAAAAATGAACGTACCTATGGGTTTGAACGCGTAAGCTGAACGTGAAGTTAGCTGTGTGTGGAGATCCGAAATGGTGTAGTTGGATGTAGCTGGAACGTTTGGTTCAGTGGGTGCCTCGGGGATGGGTAGGTAGTTCAATAGGTTCGGTCGATGGTTAGTCTGTCTCGTAGGGTCGGTTGTACACTAAAAGGAATACATATGACTACTTATTTAGATACATATTTATTTAAAGGGTATTTTAATGGGGTTAGCTCCCTTAAAACAAAAAGTAATATTAACCTTACCTTTAATAGAATAAACACGCACAAAAGATGTGGTCCGTATAGGGTTAGGTGGATGTGATGGTTGGTAAAGCTGGCGTGGGTTTAGTCTCAGGAGTCAACAGAGGTCGCAGGCTGGATAAGTCGCGGTGACGCTTGATTTGAAGTCCGAAGTTGAAGTGATTAGAACACAATTTTCGCGGTCATTTATCCGGTTGAACGGCCTAATTACAGCACCAGCTGTCGCACAACAGCTGTTGCATAATGACCTAAGTGCTTCGCGGAAAGCTACTTAATGTATGTCGTTAATTACCATAACCCGTCAACCGAGCGGGGGTAACTCGGTGAAGCATAACAAAAAAAAAAAAAAAAAAAAAAAAAAAAAAAATTTAATTAGGTGGGACATCATGCTGTGATGGGCCAGCGGCTGCGATCAATACATTCCCATTAAAACGGGCAGCGGTGAGAAAACAAAGGATAGCTGGTGAATCGATACGTAACAGGTGTTACACGACTGGTTAAATGGAAGTCATGACACAAAGTATACGTTAGCGTTAGTCTTTTATTTTAAATACTATACATCAAAGAAAATAAATATATCAAACAAATAAAACAAATACACAAAGTAGTTAAAATCAAACTGCATAAAATGAATTTCAAACAAATAAACAATAAGTAAACAATCAAATTAAACAATTTAAATCAAACAAATAATCAAATTACGTAATATTAATTAATTATAATTTTAAAAACTCATTAAAACTAATTTAAAAAATTCGTTAAAATTACGTCACAAGGTCAATAAAAAATTACACAATATAAACAAAGTAATTAAATTAAATTCAAACTAATTATAAAAAATTAATTAAAATTTACTATATATATATATTTACTATATCTCATTGTCCCAGGCTGGTGCGCCACCCTGCGCCACTCACCCTTCACCCTGCGAGTATTTTACTATATCTCATTGTCCCAGGCTGCTGCGCCACCCTGCGCCACTCACCCTTCACCCTGCGAGTATTTTACTATATCTCATTGTCCCAGGCTGCTGCGCCACCCTGCGCCACTCACCCTTCACCCTGCGAGTATTTTACTATATCTCATTGTCCCAGGCTGCTGCGCCACCCTGCGCCACTCACCCTTCACCCTGCGAGTATTTTACTATATCTCATTGTCCCAGGCTGCTGCGCCACCCTGCGCCACTCACCCTTCACCCTGTGAGTATTTTACTATATCTCATTGTCCCAGGCTGCTGCGCCACCCTGCGCCACTCACCCTTCACCCTGCGAGTATTTTACTATATCTCATTGTCCCAGGCTGGTGCGCCACCCTGCGCCACTCACCCTTCACCCTGTGAGTATTTTACTATATCTCATTGTCCCAGGCTGGTGCGCCACCCTGCGCCACTCACCCTTCACCCTGCGAGTATTTTACTATATCTCATTGTCCCAGGCTGCTGCGCCACCCTGCGCCACTCACCCTTCACCCTGCGAGTATTTTACTATATCTCATTGTCCCAGGCTGGTGCGCCACCCTGCGCCACCCTGTTCACCCTGCGCCTCACCCTTCACCCTGCGAGTATTTTACTATATCTCATTGTCCCAGGCTGCTGCGCCACCCTGCGCCACTCACCCTTCACCCTGCGAGTATTTTACTATATCTCATTGTCCCAGGCTGGTGCGCCACCCTGCGCCACCCTGTTCACCCTGCGCCTCACCCTTCACCCTGCGAGTATTTTACTATATCTCGTTGTACCAGGCTGCTGCGCCACCCTGCGCCACCCTCTTCACCCTGCGCCTCACCCTTCACCCTGCGAGTATTTTGCTATATCTCGTTGTCCCAGGCTGCTGCGCCACCCAAATGATAACCAAAAGTGACCTAATATACTACTTACGTTCGCACGACCTCTTCTATTTTTGTGTCTCATTTTGGCTTTCTAACTCAGAACAGATAGGCCTACCAAATGGCTTTCTAACTCAGAAAAGATAGGCCTCCCAAAAGGCTTTCTAACTCAGAACAGATAGGCCTACCAAATGGCTTTCTAACTCAGAACAGATAGGCCTACCAAATGGCTTTCTAACTCAGAACAGATAGGCCTACCAAATGGCTTTCTAACTCAGAACAGATAGGCCTACCAAATGGCTTTCTAACTCAGAACACATACCAATTGGGTGGATTTGGAGAATCGTTTAGATAGTTTAGAGAGGTGCGAGAAATGCAATGAGAACTATTTTTTAAATGCCGCTTATTTCAGACTACATTTAAAGATACTGAATATACTTTCCTCTACTTTTTATAAACATACAGTTTAGAGCATGGAAACAATATTTTCTCGCATTGTTAAACTTGCTTATTTAACTACATACTGGGCAACGAGTGTGCAATTTAATATCAATTTCTTGAGTACAGGTATAGACAAAAAATTAAACTCAGGCGTTTTACGTTAACTGGTTAACTGTTTGATGCTTAATCATAAGAATTATAAATGTTGTATTTCAGAAATGTGGACATTACTTGCTCTGAAAATCTTGCCCGTGCTGATGTTTGTTGTTGGTGTGTGGCCTGTGTGCCGTGAGGTGGACTGGTCCGATAGCTTCAACAAGATGGGGCAGTCCCAGTGTGACAGTCACACGGATATCATCCAAGGCTTCTGTCGAAGTGACTTCTTCCCTAGCTCAGGCATCGACCACATCGGGTTACTGGAGAGCGCTATCTGCTGCACCAAGCCCGCCCCGTGGACAGAAAACTTCGAGTTTGAAATTGTCGATTGGTGGGGTGTTTTAGATAAACCATACGCCTCCGCACTATGTCCTACCGGGCAATTCCTCTCAGGTCTATACCGGACCTCAGGTGCAAGGATATCCAGCATTGAAGAAGGACGCTGTACCAAAGCTCAGAACCTTCCGGCTCGCTATGGGTGCTGTTACGAGCAAGACATCTCGACCTGCTTCAGCAAGACGGGCTGCTGCACCTGCGACCCAGGTTATTACGTCATTGGGTTTAACCGTAGTGACTGCGATGAGCTACGGTGTTTGACCAAACTGCAGTGCTGCAATGTCACTTATCCCGAGACAGGATCCCAATAAGCCATACAAGAACAGACAGAATGCTACGAAGTACATCCCAAATCTCTACAGCAAGATTGACATTAAAACACCACAAGAACAGACAGAACGTTACGAAGTACATCCCAAATCTCTAAGGCAAAATTGACATTAAAACCGCAAAGGAACAGACAGAACGTTACGAAGTACATCCCAAAACTCTAAGGCAAAATTGACATTAAACCATACAAAAAACTAATGCAATATAACGTTATGAACTACATCAACTATACTATTACCAAATGTATTCTAAAAAAAATAAAAGCATCTTTTGCCATCAGAAGTTCATGCAAACAGTATATTTCTATGTAAACTGTACTTTTTTGTTGTTGCATATTAAAAAGAAAATTATAGCTGTTCCTATTGACACAATATAATAATAAAACTTTAAAAAACTCTTGAGTAGAAATCTTCAAATTGAAAAAAAAACACAATATGATAGACGCCAAGGGTTATAGACGCACGTCAGCTAACATGAAAGTCTCTCAGAGGAGTAGCGGGGGGGGGGGGTACATAAGTCCCCGGGCGCCGACCCTAGGGGGCGCCAAAATAGATTTGAAAAAATATTAAAAGCTCATTTTAGCTGCAGTTTTGCATTATAAATATAATTTGGGATGGGGCGCCAAATTGAAAGTTTGATCATGGGGGAGGGGGGGGGGGTTACCGCCAAATTGAAATTTTGTCCTCTGGCGCAGGGAAGGGTCGCTACGCCTCTGAAGGTCTCTAGTTTGAATCCCAGTCTCGAGTTTGTCGTCACTGAGTCCACCCATCTCTGATGTATACCTTAAATGCCACGGTCATTGAAAAAGATGAACTCTACTTCATCTGCCCCATGTAATGATGAGTACCGGAGTTAACCAGCGTAGGTGAGGATATTAGATGAAAAACAGGAACATTCTGTTTCTTTTATTTGCTACTCATTATAGAAATTCTACTTCATCTGCCCCATTTGTCTTAGGCATGAGCGGGATTTAGAAGAAGAAGATTCTAGAAAACCCAAACAATCAATCGTATTTGGAACTAGAGATAACTGACGCTTATAAACAAGAAAAACCTTTACTTGAATAATAAACCGGGAGTGATCTCCCCTAAACTTTCTCGAATATTCTTATATAACTTGGAATATAGACATGGTTTTTAATTACTTAAACTTTTAAAAATAGAATCTCATCGAAAAAAGAATTGCGCATGAAGCGAACACCAAAACAAAATGTGCATAATAGTTCGCAATATTATTAGTACTTTATAAATTTACATGCGTTTTTAGAGAAATCGGAAATAGCGTAAATTAGTACTTCCGGTCAACGGAAATTACTCAAAATTTGACAGAAGGCAGAGAATTAGATTTTCTACTTACATGTAAAATTTCATTATCTATCTGAAATCGTACTCAAGTTATAGGCTTTTGAAAAATTCAAAGTAGAAAAAGTACCACTTCCGGTTATCGGAAATCGCTCAAAAGTTGATACGGATCTAAGATTTTGATAAAATACTTATATATAAAATTTCATCAACCTAGCTCTAACGGTACTCAAGTAATCGTATTACACAGACACACACACACAGACACACAGACATACGGACAAGATTGCAAAATTATGTTTTTCCGTATCAGTGAGGTGTAAAACGTCGAGATTTGTAAAAATCTCGATTTTTTTTTTGCACGATTACAATACTTTCTCTATACTTCGTATATACGAGAAAGTAAAAATGAAGATTCTCCAAGAAGATCGTGGTTCACGTGTAAGATAAAGACACATAATTTTAATTTACGACATATTTTAAATGTGTGTTAAACGTGACCTAGTAAGTAAATCATATAATTTAGCAGAAGAGTTATCCAACTCGGCGTTAGTCAAGAATTTACATCAAACAAAAGGGCAACAAATATGAAATTAACATCCGATTTGAAAAGAGTTACTTCCTCATTACCGCCCACAACAATTGTCGAATGTATTCCTGTTGTGTAGGTGACGATGCTGATATCAGATCATAAATTAAACAAATAGACACAAATCTATTCAAAACATGAATCGGTGCTTTCAGATGAATGCCGTGTGATTTTGTCTTATCCACCGAGTTCCCGAACTTTAGACAAACATTAAACACAGCTTTTATTATGCCTAGAGTCAGGCTCATTTGCAGTAAGGTACTGAAGTTAGAAAACAGCAAAATATGATATTTCTATGTTGTCTCTTAGAAAGAAACTCAACTGCGATATGATTCCTTTACTGTTAAGGAATAGAAGAAAAAAAATTCCAAAACCTACATTCTAAAAACAAAATAGGAAAAAAAGATTAATACTTATAATATAAATAATAACATTTTTAACGGATTGGTAATTTATTTTAAAAAAGCAATAAATAAATATATAGTTAAATAAATTTGGATATCATTAGAATGTCACAAATGAGTTATTCCGAGATTTCTAAGCTAATAATTGTGTAACGGGAAAATTACAGTTATTTAAAGTACCCTGAAATAACCAATTATGTACAGAGGTTATCAAGCTATCTACTTAAATAAAACAAAATAGGACAGCAGTAGTAGGTTTATCTAAAGAATGACGGAGTTTACCGTAGTCGTATAATTATCTCAGAAATTATGGTGTGCTGCTTACTGGGATAGTAATTTTAACGTATATATTTAAATTGAATTAAACATTGTTTGTTGAATTTAAAGTATATTAACTGAGGTGCTGTAACACTTTTAAATCATACATACACGAATTGGGTCCTAGAGTTAGACAAACATTTCATGTATCAGTAATGAGGAATACATTTGAAATAACAGTTAAATAAAATATTTGAAACATTTTTTTAAAAAAAAAGGAATCCTACTTATGGAATTTGTTAGTTTCAAATATTAATAAATTTACAAAGTGTTATAAATTTATTTAATTCAAACTGAAATCGTGTTACAATAGTGGGTTTTATTTGAGTATTGAGAAATCTTTGCTATATATCACCACTGAGACGATGCTATAATTCCTACCAGTATACCTGTAAAAAGACTCCCAACACACCGTGTCTTTACCCGGTATAAGGTGAGTGTCCCACTGATGGATATGACAACAGTGAGAGATGGTCCAGATGTGACCGTCACCTTCACCTTTGACCAGTACATCCTGGCCATGGTCTCATGCTGCGGGATCTACGTCTTCCTCTCAACGTTTGGGATCATCACCAATCTCATCAGCATCCGAACCTTCGCTGTCATCGGTCTCAAAGACGCCATGACAGTTTCCTTTATGTTATTATCAACATCTGATTTAATGCTATCAGTCGTATCGCTGGCTATGGGAATTGGTGGGATTTTCTACTCTGTTGAGTTTATATACGATAAGTGGTTTACAATCGACCCGTATATTATTGGCCTGTTTACTACCAATCTGTTTATCCCGTGTTCTGCTGTCGTGGCTCTAAACACGAGTTTTGTTTCTTTAGCTAGATGTGCATGTGTGTCTTTACCTTTCTATTTTAAGCACATATTTAAAAGAAAAACATCCATAGTATTCATGTCCACGAGTTTTGTCTTCTGCGCCGTGACGTACACCCCCGTGTTTGTTTACATGGCAGTTGTTGAGAGATACGACACGGTTCATAATAGGTCAAGGCCGACTGTATGGGTATCGCCTGATCGAAAATACGTCAAAGATATTGTGTGGAATATTCTGGGCATGGCTATACCGCTCTCAACCCAGGCGATTATAATAGCCTCGACGATCATAATGACTAGAGCGCTGACAAAATCGCAGAAATTTAGATCAGCCAACGCCCAATCCTACCAACACGCGGAATCAAAGACGATAGGAAGTCTTAAAATTAGCGAGACGGCCAAACCTAATTCTGGAAAACTCACGGGAAAAGATCGACAAGTCGTGAAACAAGTTGTAGTGATTTCCCTTGTATATATCCTATGTAACACACCGAAGATCATATTTATATTGGCTACAGTTTTCGTGTCAGAACTCAACCTAGGAGGAAGGTTCAGTTATCTCTATATAACGGTCAGCAATATACGTATAATATTTGAAATCATCAACTCGGCCACGAGTCTGCTCATAAACTATTCGTTTAACGCGAAATTCAGAAATTTGTGTGGGATTCAAAGCTACATCTGTGTATTCAAAACACCACTGCAAGGTTACTGATGTAAAATAAAAAGACTGAAAGTATGAAGTATTATTTACACTTCTTGTTTTATGTCTGTGTTTGTTTTTTGTGCTTAACACTGCAAGGTTACTGTTGCAAGGTTACTGATGTAAAAAATAGACTGAAAGTATGAAGTATTACATTTACACTTCTTGTTTTATGTTTGTTTGTGTGCTTTAGGTCAATATACAGCATCGGTAACATTGTGCATCTAGAGTGCTTTTCCCGTGTTCTGTTTTGTTGTAATTATTATCTTTCCATGGTCTGATCTATCCATAAGTCATTATATGAGGTGTCCATCCCGTAAAGTATACATTCTGTGACGTATCCATTATGTGATGTTTTTATTATGTGAGGTGTCCATTACGTGACGAGTCTAGTAAGGTATCCATTATGTGATGTATCCATAATGTGAAGTATCCATGATGTAAGGTATCCATTATGTGATGTATCCATCATGTGAAGTTTCTATTATGTGATGTTTCTATTATGTGATGTATTTTTTATATGATGTTGCTATTATGTGATGTAACCATTATGTGATTTATCCATTATGTCATGTTTCTAGTATGTGATGTTTCTATTATGTTATGTATCCTTTATATGATGTTTCTATTATGTGATTTATCCTTTATGTGATGTTTCTATTATGTGATGTCTCTATTATGTGACTTATCCATTATGTGATGTTTTTATTATTTGTATTATTATAAGTATCCATTATATGAAGTATCCATTATGTGAAATCCATCAAGTATTGAATGCATTTGTTTATCGCACTGTCTTTCAGCCAAGTACTGTGTTATTAAAACCGGTGTTTATTAAATGTGAATAGAAATAATTTTAAGAATTTCACAGCGGGTCATCTCGATAGTAAACGTGTACTAATATTTCTGCAGAATACAGTCGTAGTACAGTTTTATACACACGTTATATCCAGGGGCGGAACTACAGTGCCGCCAGACCCCGCAATGCGGGGGGGCCCAGACCGATTGGGGGCCCAAAAATCCTGGCTAAATTATTTTTAAAAAAAATTAAAAAAAAAAAAAATTAGGTGGAGGTCGAGTTATCTTTCTTCTACAGTTACAAACAAACACGATAGTCGGCAAACGTCTTTGATAAAAATGCACAGAC